CAGATGGCCTCTATTGCAGTTTCCAGGGAGTTCTGCATCCAGAACAGCTTTCAGGCTGAGTGAGATGGTCCAGACTCACAGACTATTCTAACCAGGACTACAGATAAGCCTTGAGCTTTCCCATTGCACAGAGACTGGACAATAAACATTATAGCTGATTTCTCAGGTTCTTTAAAGATGGCATCACCCACAGACAACAGGAAGAAGTCTAAAGAACACAACATTCACGTTCCCAAGAGGTCGGGTGGGTGGTTTTTTGTCGTTTGGTGGGTTATGGATGTTCGTCACCATTTAGTGGGAGTTGGTTACAAATTGTTACTGGTCATGATCAGGAAAAAGTTGAACGAAGGAGATTACATTCAGGGATCTCTTTCTGAAGGGAAAATGGGGATATAATATAGAAAGGATGGGATAAAAGGTGAATTGTGGGGTTTACTTTTGAAAAACTATTAATCTCAAATATTTTACATTGGCATAGAGTTTTATATATTGATATAAATTATAATTTTGTTATACTGTATATATGTTTCTACTCTTGTTTAAGGTATTGCATCTATGCAGCTCATTTAAAAATGTAATGTAAAGTTTTAGTCCTTGAAAATTATTCAGGATAATAAAGAAATACAGGTTAGTAGTCAGTCATCTATAACAATCAAACTTATAGTCATGTTAGGTATAGTTTCTATTTTTTATTTTTTTAGGTATTTTTTAAAATTTATTTATTATGTATATAGTGTTCTGGGCACCAGATCTCAGATCTTATTATAGATTATGGTGTGAGCCATCATGCAGTTGCTGGGAATTGAACTCAGGACCTCCGGAACAGCAGTCAGTTCTCTCAGCCTCTGAGCCATCTCTCCAGCCCTAGGTATGTTTTTTAAAGGTCAAACAGAGATATATTTTAGAAAGATAGTCTTCAAACACTTTAGAGATTTACAGAATATGACATTTAAAGTGTTAAAGACAATGAGTCACATCTTCTCCCGGCAGCACCACTTTACTTAAAAAAAAAATGATAGGCACCAAAAAACCTCCATATGCTGTTTACTTTCTTTGTGGCAAAAGCTAGTCATTTGGACAAGAAACTACCCTTTCTTCAACTGCTGACAGTATGTTATCCAAAGTAGATAAAGAGGACACACATAAAAAGAGGTACTGTCAAACTTTGTCGAGACAGGGTAGGAAGTTCTTCAAAAATTCCTACTTCACAAAAAGTATTTTTAGGCCTGTAGGCGAAAGATGGATGTCCCAATGTTGCAAAAGAACCTTAGGTCACTGTCCAGGCAGTCAGCTGTTTCTGTCATTTTCATAGTTTTGCTCTGTACTTCCTATTTACCCAGGTAATATTATATCCTTCTCAGATCTCTGATGGAGTTGAAGATTAGATAGTTATAATTACAGTTTTCCTTGATACTAAATTCAGACAAGAAACTCACAAAAGAGGTGTAAAGTATATAAGGTTGAGAGACATAAAAACTTAAATTGTTTATTTACAAAATGTTTTGAGATCTAAAAATACAGTTTTAGGTTTGTAATGCAAGTTAGGATAGAAAGTGAATTGGGTACAATACTTTGGACTCACCAAGTTAGGATAGATAATGAAATATTTTCTCTAAATTTCCCAAATGCAAGTGGACTGTACATTATGAATGCTATTCTTACCTGATAATTGTTCTTAATGTATGCAGTTTTACTATGTTAGAGTTAAAACCTTTCTTCTTTATTTAGACAAAAAGAAGGAAATGTTGTGGAATAATCTTTTTGTACTCTTGGGGAAGATGTGTCTTCCCCAAGGCACCTTCTGATTGATTTAATAAAGAGTTGAATGGCCAATATGGCCAATAGGTAGACAGGAAGAGGTTGGGCGAGACTTTCAGAGAGCAAAGAAGAGATGAATCTAGTTGTGGGGAGATGTCAGAGGAGATGGAGAAGAAGCAGGACATGCAGGAGGATATATAAAAGTCACAAGTCACATGGCAGCACATAGATTAAGACAAATGGGTTAATTTAAGTTATAAGAGCTAGTTAGAAACAAGCTTAAGCTAAGACCAAGCTTTCACAATTAATAATGTCTCTGTGTCATGAGTGGGGGCTGGTGGTACAGAGAAAGACTGCCTGACTACACATGCCTCATATATTTGGTTCTGCTTCTGCTTCTCTGATTCCCCAAGATGTCAACCTCAGTCCCTTAAGGCTATACTTGGGCCTGACAGGTGAAGAAGGAAGATATGGAAGGGAAGAAACCCTGTCAGATCAAGCGACACCCTCTTCTGGCTGTGCAGCCTCCTACTGTGCAGGGTACACAGGTATGGGCTGACACCATGAGCCATGGGTGCAGACCTTCAGGGCCTGCAGGAGTGAACAGTGAACACATGAGCAGCAGGAACAAGCCAAGACTGACCTCTGAGACCTCCAACCACCTGCCCGTGATGATGGATAGAAAGACCATGGGAAGAAGAAATCTCAAAGGGCTGTAGTGTAGGTACTCACTGAAACAGAACCATGAGTTTGGATAGGACTGCTGGGGATCCTGCAGCATTTTTAATAATCCATTACAGTCTCACTATGTCACTCTGGCTGGCCTAGAATTTTTTTATACTTTTAATTTTATTCATGTATTTATGTGTCTGCCAGTGTCATTGATTGGTCAGAATATAGCACTGAGGGCTGGAGAGATGGCTCAGAGGTTAAGAGCACTGACTGCTCTTCCAGAGATCCTGAGTTCAATTCCCAGCAACCACATGGTGGCTCACAGCCATCTGTAATGAGATTTGGTGCCCTCTTCTGGCCAGCAAGCACACAGACAGACAGAATACTGTATACATAATAAATAAATAAATAAATCTTTAAAAAAAAAAAGAATATAGCACTGAATTCCCCTGAAGCTGGAGTTACAGGCTGTTGTAAGCCTCTTTTTTAAAAAAAGATTTATTTATTTATTTAGTATACAAATTCTGCCTCCATATATGCCCACACCAGAAGAGGGCGCCAGATCTCATTACAGATGGTTGTGAGCCACCATGTGGTTGCTGGGAATTGAACTCAAAATTGCTCTTAACCACTGAGCCATCTCTCCAGCCCTGGCCTAGAACTTTCTATGTAGAACAAGTTGTCCTTAAACTCACTGAGATTCAGCTGGTTCTACCTCGGGCTGCTGAGATTAAAGACTTGTATCACCAGGCCCAGCTCACATACCTTTTCTTAAGGCACTGTCAAGTTTTGAGTATTTATTTTTAGTGGGCTTTCCTTTTAAAAATTAGGAAAACACAGAAAAGCAGTGGGTAGGGCTTCAAGTCTCCCACAATCCACTGCTCCCAAACAACGTAGTATTGGGTTCTGGGGACAGGCACATGACTGTGACGTTCTAGATTAACTGGCAGACTGGTGTGGCCAAACGACTCTAAGACAATACACTCAGAAGCGAAGCTCACCACTTCTGAGTCCAGCCTCTGAAGTTTCCAGACTGTCCTTGCCCCTTCTGCTGGCTGGATGTGGATCGTAGGTCTTGCTTCCACAGATAGAAATAAACTGTGGGATCCTGTGGGGCCAAGCTCTGCTCCTCCTACTTCTTCACCATCCCAGAACTGTTATTTGACCAGATAACATTTATTTTTGTTTTTCAAAACAAGGTTTCTCTGTAGCCCTAGCTGTCCTGGAACTCATTCTGGCCTCATACTCAAGAGATTCACCTGCTTCTGCCACCCAAGGGCTGGGACTAAAGATGTGCGCCACTATGCCTGGCTCAGATAACTTTTTAAAACCCGGCAGTGATATTTTGTTTATGATCTAACAAATAAAGCTTGGCTGATCAGAATGCAGAGCTAAGCCACTAGTTAGTCAAAGAGGCCAGGTCACCCTGGGCAACTGACTGAATCTGTCTAAAAGAGAAACAGAGCTCACACAAAAGTGATCCCAGCACTTGGGATCCCACGAGGGAGGTGGAGACAGGAGTGCTATGCTGAACAGAAAGAGGATTATAAAGTGGGAGAAGACAGGAGCTCAGATTCAGTCTGAGGATTTGTAGGGACAGGATCACTCCTTTGGTCTGAGGATTCAGTAGAGTTAAGAATTAGTGGCTGGCTGCTCTGCTTCTCTGATCTTTCAGCATTAATCCCTATATCTGACTCTGGGTTTTATTAAGATCAATTAGAATTCACGCTACAAACCCCTCCTTTTTTAAGACTTATATATTCATGTGTATGAGTTTCTTGTTTGCATGTACATGGTGTGTAATGCTAAGGCTTCCGATTCTTTGGGAATAGTCATGGACAGTTGTGAGCTGCCATGAGGGTGCTGGGAAAAACCCAGGTCCTCTTCAAGAACAAGTGATCTTAACCACTGAGTCATCTCTCTAGTCCACAGGTAACTAATTGTATGAAGAGCTGGAGCCCGGCTGTGGTCACGTTACCTGAACTCAGTAGCAACACAAGCTGTAGGACCATTTAACACCTTGCCACTCATTCCTAAACACGTGCCCCTGCTCATGCTTCATATATGTATTTTTCTATTATCACAAATTTTTCATTTTTACTCAAAAGCTGAAAACATCCTGTAAGAAGTAGACAGGAATTCACTCACTATTCTTGTCTGGTGCTGACATTTAGTTTGTCTATAGTTTGTGTGTGTGGAAACCTTACTCTTTATTTTGAGACATCTTTGAAAATATCAAGAGATCTGACATCATTCAAAGGTCTTAGACATTGCTGGATATTTCACAAAGACTGAGTCAATGATGTCATCATGAATAAGTACTTTCATTTCATTAGACTGAGAGACGACACATGGACGCATATAAATACACACATAGGTGTGCAAACTTAGGTTAACTTGATTTAAATATTTCCATTTTGTTCTGTTCTAGCACAACTAAGGCTGAATATTTTTCTGACTTTTAGCTGTACCTTCCTTTTAAAGAATCCCATGCCCTGCCCTCTTCTGGAGAGCACATTTTCTACAGATTTTCATGAGGTAGCATTAACAGATAATCTCAGAAAACAATCTTCAAACATCAGAAAGCAATTTATTACAAAAAACAAATATTAAGGCATAAAAATACAAGTTTTTCAAACAAAAGTTCTTTGAATTGCTTTTATATATTCAAGGAAATTTCTCCCAAATAATAACTTAATCTTTTTAAATAGTGAATATATTTTTAACATCTAAACTTTCTCCCCAAAGAATGAATGTTTTCCTAGTTCTAAAGAAGCTTTAATACAGTATTGAGTTCCTGTCCTATGACATACACTTCCTTAAAAAATCTATTTTTGTCACTTAAATACATTTATATGTTCAGAATTTTGTATATTAGACTTCCTCTGACAGTTGTAAGGCTTGGTGTTTTGTATTGCTTACTGCATGCTGTCAATCACTCACAGACATGAGTATCAGAACCTAGCATGGCCTCTCTTAGCTTTAGTCATAGACAGCCAGGTCAATAGCCCCAAACCTCCTTGAAAAAGGGTATACAAATTAACTTTGTATGTACACTTTAAGCCAAGTCTTGACATTATTGTAATCTAAATACGATGTACCATAATCCAGAGGAAAAGGTGGCACTTTCCACAGGATAGGAAAAGTTAAACAAAACAAAATCCAAAAAACAAACAAACAGGAAAAGCATGGGGGCATCCTACCACCTCCCAAGCTTACAACTTCCATCTTTCGTTTCTTACTGAAATATTCTAACTACCCTGGAAGGCACATATTTAAATATTAACCTAATTCAAATCATGAAAAATGTCTCAAGCAAACCTCATACATCATCAAAATCTAACATGAACTGTATTACAAGAAGTTTTGAGCACAAAACTGGAGCCTTATCCCCAGACCTCTCAACTAAAGGGGAGGTCTGTCCAACAGCATCTTGAGCAAACTGAGCTGGGCACCTGGAAGTCCCAACGTTGTCTGGAGCCTCGGAGCAGATGGGGAAGGAGGTTGAAGAGCTGCACGGTAGCCCTGGGTGGACCGGTAGTCCCTGTGAACTACACCGACATTGTAGGGACACAGGCAGGGGCTAAGAAGGCCCCTCAAGAAAAGCTCAACACAGGTCACTAAACATTAGCACCTGGCACAATTATCACTAAATGCAACAGACACCACACACCCTTTCAAAACATTTCTAGTGAGGTTGTCAAGATGAAACTCCACTCTCTCTGGATGAAAAGAAAAGTGTTCATTTCAACCTGGAGCTAGGCCAGAGGCAGCATCATTTGTCTTTCCTGGTTTATTTGTTTTTTTGTTTTTAAACATTACTGACGTGGTATCAAAAGCATTTCCCTGGCCAGCAACTCCTCCCCCCTCGACCCACTCAATGTGTAACCCCTGCTAGTTATAAGCAGAAATATCAACTGCAGGCGTGTGGGTTGTGGGTCAACCGCCTCATCCCATGAAGGCAGGATATTAAATAGAAATGTGAAGTGGGCTTCAGTGGTGCATGCCTGCAATCTTAGCAAGAGGGTCACAAGTCTAATGTCAATCAGCCTGGGCTACCGCAGCACCCTTCAGCCCCCGACCCATATCCTGCAAGGGTGTCTCCAGTTCTCAAACAACTGGGTTAGAAGGTGGACTACGCCAAAGCCAAAACATACAAGCATGCAGGGACGCATAGTGGACAGGAGAAGCCCATCACTTTGGCAGAAACTGACAGAAGCAATGGCCCCACCATGGCTGAATTGGCCACTCTCCCCTGGGAAGCACCAGGAAGCAAGGGGGCTGCAAACCAGCCTCTCTCCACCAGGGCTGCCAACACCACACAATTTCCCAGTGTCCACTATGGGAAATTTTCAAGAGATACAACTACGGAAATGTATCTCTACCAACCCCTATGGAATGAGTACATAGGAAATAAACTCAGAAGAGTAAGCTTTTCAAAGAAAGGGTTGTTTTGTGGCATCAAAGTGAAAATCTCGAGGTTGTAGTTAAGTGTTCCTGGTCATATTTTCATGTTTTCTCAATTATTCCAAATTATTCTAATTCACAAGGCCAGAAGTCCTCCAGAGAAAAGCCGTAGACCCTGCCTTTCATCACTAAATGTCTGCCAGCCTGGTGTCTTTGGTCATGAGAGGAGCAAAGCATTCACATTTCCAAACTACATTCAAGTGCCTTTCAAGTTTACAACATTCTATATTTAAAAAAACATTAGAATAGAAATTTTCAATCATATATTATGAACATAATTTAACAAAACAAGGTGTAAAATATGATTGAGGGCTGGTTAATTACATGTTGATGCATGGTATAGTTAGATGCTTTTATCCTGAAACGGAAAACACCGAGAACGTGTAGCCAACCTGATACTGTGCAAGTTCCCACAAGGCTCACAAGGAATGGTGCACCAAGAGGCTGGGAAGAAAGTGCTTTTGGGGAGCCACATGGCCAGGGGTCACAGCGGAATTAGCAGCAGCACGTGTACCCATAGCCTGCAAATCTTTGGATGTATCCTCAAGACGTCTCTCTTTGTGCACTTGTGTTCCCCTGAGCTCACACTCCATGACATGCAGTGCATGGTGGTATTTACAAATAAGAGTTTTGTGTACACCCAACAGAGGGGACAAGATAAAACATATGAACATGCTCACGTTCCGATATTATGTCACTTCAGTATAAAAAAATTGAATAAAGTTATCACTACAAAAGATGAACACTGCTGTGGAGCATTCAGGAGAATCAATCTCGAAGGTGCGAGGGAAGGAGTGGTCATAGAGAATCTTTTCCATTTTTTGTTTTGTTTTTTGAGACAGGGTCTCACTCAGTAGCTCCCTCTGGTTGTCCTTGAATTATGTAGACCAGGCTGGCCTTGATTTCAGAGAGATTCAACTGCCAGGCATGTGCCACCATGCCCAGCTACAAATTCTTTTTTCTGGAGAAAATGTGAGACCCAAATCTGCATGCCTGTAGCTGTCACCTAACATGCCTCTGTGTACACTTGGTTAAGATGTATCAAATTATTTCCAAATTCAGGTAACTTAATGGCAATTAAACTGACTTTATGAGTCAGTTTTAAAGATGGCTTTAAGAGGGTGGCGGACCCTCCCACACCTGAATTCTTCATTTGCATACACAGATCTTCATGACAACACAATAAAACATGTATCATAGTGAAGCCGTCAGCTTTGATGAGACCAGCTTTTCCCATCACTCAACTGCAGGTCCCAGTCACATTATCTTTTCTGAAGAGAACATTTTTTCAGCTATTTCAGATCTGGTCATAATTTCCTAGAGGGGGAAAAGATATGTGTCAATTGTTGAGGCTACATCCAGAACCTACCAAGATGTTTTAATCTCACAAGTTACTATATTTACTCTTTTTAATAGACCTAACTTTGGGGGACGTATAAGATAAAAACTATGGTCTCCACATAATTCAACAGGTCAATAATCAGTCAAAGTTGGAAAAAGTCAGCTTCCTTCAACCTACAAATGAGTTTAGGTTCTCTGTAAGCGGCAGAACCAGAGCTAACAGGGATCTCACGTGAGGTTTGTCTCATGTTACTGGACCCAAGACATTATTTATCATGTCGAAAGAACTAAGTGCACCACTAAACAGCCTCTCAGCATATCCCTGTGGGCTGTAGATCCGACAGTCTGTCGTGTGGGAAGGCCTGCTCCACCCTGTCATCCTGCCACAGAGGAACACAGCACTGCTTCAGAGCCACCTCCCTTCCAATTCTTATGCTCTACTGGTAACAGAGCACACCAGCTGCTAATAGCCGCCCCTCCTCTGTATGAGCCATGGCTTCACCATTTATCCTTTAATCCATATACTGAAGATGAACCCTGCCTTGGGCTACCCTGCAATGTCTAGCTGACCAAAAACTAACCCCCCACACAGCCCTTTATTTAAATTTCATGCTTAGTAAGTAAAGCTGGAAACTATTCCTATACATTATACGTGTCAGAAGCTAAACAACGGACACACAGAAAATCACAGACTTTCAAACAAAAACCTCACGCCTCTTCTCTTCATTTATAACAAGCATCTTTTATCCTGCTTCTGCCTGCAGTGAATCTTAGCCCACAATCCTTCACACTTCAAGCCAGCTCTGTGTCCTTCTGTCTGCTTAGTTGGTAACTGCTTCAAAAGGTTATTTTCAGAATTAACTTCTGAAATACACTGTAAAAACAGAAACAGTTCTAAGGAAATTTGTAAAAGGAGGCTTACCTCATCTGAGTCCACTAACACTGGAAGAGCTCTGAAACAAGAGAGAAATAACAGTGAGCTCTACAAGAACTCTACAGCCAGAGCTGTGGGGCAGCAGGGCATCTGGGAGGGACCGGGGCTTGGTGGACTGGCAGAGTTCTGCCTTCTGATTATAGGAAGTGTGTAATTTCCTGAATGCACGTTCCTTTGAAAAAGTTCAGTCTAAAGTTAACAGAAATATTTTAAAGATCTGAACTTTAAATAGAAACAAGCTGGTACTACAAGGGCACTGGGGCAGTGGGCTGAACTCACAGGAGCGTTCAAACACACCCCACTCCCTATTTACTTTTCAATCCTTGGCTATTCTTTTACTTTTAACAATTGGCTGGGTATCTGCCATTTTAACTACAAAACTAAATTCCGTGCTTTTGTGAAAATGAGAGAAGCTCATTATCAGACATAGTATTTCTTTTTCTGGAGAACATCTGTTTGGAGATGTATTTATTTACTACACATGTTAGCAGGTGTGTGTGCCTGGGAGCACAGGTGTGGACATCAGAAGGCTACTCAGGGGCTGGCTCTCGCCTTCTACCCCACAGGCCTGGGACTGAACTTCCTGTCTTTGTCTGCTGTGCCAGATGCAAACACATCTAAAATTCTCAGTATTCAGGGATGAAATGTAAAGAACCTTGATGCTAATGAGGAAAATAAAAAAAAAGCAAATATTTAAAAAATAAAACTACCACACAAAATGAAGTCCACAATACACACAGGGTGACAACGGAAGCAGACTCCCTCTGAAGTCGTGAAAGCTCGAGCTGGTAAAACAGCTCAGGGGCTAAGGACGCCACCACATGGGGACTTGAACTAAGATTCCTAGGCCCATATGGACGGAGAGAACCAACTTCTACAGATTCTCACCTGACCTTTACATATACAAATGGATGTAAAAAATAGTTTTACATGCCTGAACTTTTCTGTGGTAAAAAAATAAAATGAAATAAAAAGATTCTGAAAACTGTAACCAGGAAGAGGATGAATTGGTTGCAGGTCGCTAGTACTGAAATGGCAGTACTGTACAGTGGAAAGGGGTTGGGGCTATGATCAGTTCTGCAAGAAGTTTACATACACACACACGCACACACACACACACACAGGCGCACGCGTGTGCACACACACGCACAAATGCATGCTTTGAGAAACATCCAATAAAATCTCCTTAAACTACAGCCTCAGGTTCAAACTTAGAACAGAGGATATTTACACATCTGTGAATGAAGAGGGAATATTTTCTTCCACCCACTTCAAATCTTCATCCTGTAGAAATAAATATTTGCATTTAGTATTTGCTAAACATCACCTGAAAACATAGATTTTTTTTTTTGGTAACATGTTTTTAAACTTGCAAACTTAGATCAGATGCATGGGATCTGTTAGTTGCTACATGTGCTGGCTTAGGATGTCACACACAAGTGTGACAGTATTTCATAAACAGACAGAACATTACTGATTTTTCTGTTTCTTGGTTTTAACTGAAAATATTACTGATCTTCCCTGCGCCCACTTTTATTTATTTACTTTTCATTGGTTTAAATCCAGGAAGGGTACAGCATCACATGAATTCTGTGTTCAATGGCCTTTGTAGGAAGGTTGCTTCAGAAGTTGGCAGGAACCATGCCACTGTTTCCATGGGCCTGAGTTACTTTTCTCCAGATCGCTTACTTTGCCTCCAGGTGCTACTGTGTTTTTTGCTTTGTACACATAAGCACATCTCTTTCCCAAGAAGAACTCAGTTTCATCTCGGGCATAAACACCTTCAATTTAAAGAACAGCTGTGTGCTCTCTCTGGTTCTGGAGACTTCATTTATAGCCAGTTGAAATGGCCTGCCGTTTCTAGCAGGCCCCTGGAATCTGCCTCTAAGGTCAACAGCAAGAACTTCCCTCACCTCCACAGGTACCAAGATGGCGGAAAGGGCTTGTTCTTTTTTGACTTAAGAAGTCAAACTAAAAATGGAGAATTGATTTGTAAGGCAGAAAATGGCAAGGTCCACTGCTTTTGCCTCTATCCCTCTTTACGCCTAATTTGTACACATTCTTGGGTTTATATTTATATTCAATTGGAAACAATAATGGACAACGCTCTAACCTTAGCAAAGCACTGAAATGGAGCATTCATATTCCTATTCCAGACAAGGAAGGCCAATCAGCTGGAGTAGGTAGAGGTTTTCTCTTCTAATAGAAATTTACACTGTATACATAATAAATAAGTTTTTTTTTAAAAAGGAAATTTACTTCTAGTTATTACACTGAAATCTAGTTTTCTTCCCTGTGCACCAGGCTATCTGGGCCATTCTACTTGCAGCAATGAGCACCTTGCTGACTGAGACAAGGCAACAGAGTCCTCTTTCTGGTCCTAGGTAGAAATTAGTAACGACAAATATAAGACCTCTAATTTCTGATCAAAAGTCGACAACACTGATTCTAGTGACATATTTGTGACTACTGAGTTTTAAATAAACTGATACACATAGCCACAAGGGTACTAACAAGTTGGAACCATTAGCACAGCTTAAGCATCCCTCCCTCATCTGAAATTCTTGGGGCCAGAATTTCATATTTATATTTCCAAGTATTTACATACACACAGTGAAAATTCATTTATGACTCATCTACTTTGCACACAGAAGTGAAGGCAACTTTACACAGTATTTGGAAGAATCTGGTATACGACATAAAGTTTCACAGCAGGTTTTTATTGTGGTGTCATGTTGGTGCTCAAAAATTTGGGGGCTTTGAATTCTCAAATTAAGAGTGCTCTATCTGCAGCTTTAATACAAACTGAGTAAAACTAGAGGTTTCTAAATTACCGTGAAACTACTCAAAGGATACATTTTACAACTGCCAAAGTAAAAATAAGAGAACTTGTCAAATCCAACTGAGAAGAGTGTTGACTGCCACAGAGCACTTCCCTGGGGAACGCCCACACATATGTAATTCTATGTATCACTCCATGGCAGCAGAGTGCAAGAACGTGTAAGGTTCATTCTGCTCAGCTGTCACCACCATCACGTGTATGCACAGCACATGTGTAAGGTGTTTTAAGACTCATCTTTGAGCCAGGTGTGGTGGTGCAGGTCTTTTTTCCCAGTTCTTGGGAGGCAGAGGCAGGCAGATCTGTGAGTTCGAGGCCGGCCTGGTCTACAGAGTGAGCTCTGGGTTTGGTTCCTTGCACCCCAGTGGTGGCTCACAATCGACCATATCTGCAGTTCAGAGGCTCTGATTCTCTCCTCTGACCTGAGGGCACCAGGCACATACACGACGCACATACGTGCAGACAACACTTTTATACATAAAAATGAATAAAATAGTTTATAAACTCATCCCTGCCTTAAGGTCTATATTTGATTTATGCTTTCATGGTTTTAGAAGTCTGTTGTTTTGGAAAGTGAACAGGACATAAATCCTCTTCTCAACAGGTGACAACCTGGATCTAACGCATCTACAGAAGAAATTGCCTGGATGTGCTGAAGAGCTACCACTGACTTTACCAAGACAAAGCCTCTCCACCTGGTGTGAGTCTGGGAGAGCCCTGGACAGACATGGACTGAGACCCAACAGGGCTGGGAAGCCTGAGGTGCTGCACCTCCAGCCCGCACCCGACCTTGGGATGCCGGCCCAAGCACAGAACCTGACAAATAAGGACAGACAGCAGTGACACTGCAGTCATGGGCCTGAACTCGCACCAGCGCCTGGACACAGCTAGTTAATAACAACAAACCTTAGCAAAAACTCCTTTGACGACCAGCGACTCTGACATGGCAGACTCTAAAGTATCAGACAGAGATCCACTAAATACACAGATACTCACGAAATTATCAGAAGTAGGTTTAGCTGTTCCATTCGAAACTGTTTTTGAGGCTCTTAGTTTTATTCCTTCAGCTACAATGATAAACATCATAGAGACATATAAAAGATTACAAATTATACTTTGCTTTATCCTCACACTTAATACCCCAATAAGAAAAAAGATTATTTTTTAAAGAGTAAGCAGTAGCCACTTTGACCAGGAGAGTAGCTTTAATATGCCGTTTTGGAGTTAGAAAAGAGGCACAGGGAAAGCTAATAGGCTTTTGAATTGATATGTACCAGTTGAACGTTTTATGGATATAGTGGTATTTCAACCCACACACATACACAGTGTGTCAGAAAGACATCAGGGCAATTGGTCAAATGTCACTTCAAAATGATCATTTCTCTGTGCTGGGAATGAAGCCCTCCTTAGCTATTTGAAAGGACAATGAATTAAAAACTGTAGTCACCCTTACTAGAATTTGTCCTTCCGTCTAACTTGAATTCTGCTCCCCACCCCCTTTGTTTTTCGAGACGGTTTCTTGTAGCCTGTCCTGGAACTAGCTCTTGTAGACCAGGCTGGCACCGAACTCACAGAGATCCGCCTATCTCTGCCTCCCGAGTGCTGGGATTAAAGCCTGCACCACTATTGCCCAGCTGAATTCTGTCCATTTTAAATAACTGTTGTCCATTATTGTTCCTGCTTTTTTCTCCTCACCTCAACCTGTTACTCCCTGCATTCAAGATCAACTGTTTTGCTTTTCTATTGGTAAGAACAGGCTTGTCTGCCTTTCTGTCCCTGGCCTAATTCACTGAGTAGTATCCTCCAGGCTTAGGTTCTGGTAACTGGATTTCACAACAAGCAGGTTTTCAACTTGCTGGTCTAAAATGCACCTACGGAGGAGCTCAAGCATATATACTTCCCTAATCAATTTAAAGCTTAAGGACAAATGTGTAAGGCTTACAGTATTTCAAAAATAAGACATCTTGGGAGCTTGGAATATATCTCAGGGGTAGAGCATTTGCCTAGAATGTGTAAAGCCCTAGGTTTTATCCTAACACCCCAACACACACACATGGATCTTAGAAATTTTTACTTGCTTGACATATAAACAGCAGGGTATGCTCATGGTAAAAATATGATATGAAAATTATTTTCTTCATATTGATTAAAGTTTTAGATTTTTTTAAAAAAAATATGCACATGTGTCGATGTGGGTGTGTCACACTTCTCTTTAAGAGACTTTACACTGTCCATGACTTGTAGTAAGTAGTGTGTGAGGAGTCCTCTCCAACTGGCTATCAGTCACGCTGACTGTGAGCAGTGGGGGTTGTAGTAGCTTACTGCTGTCTTGTGTCCTCGATTACTGAGAACACTGAGCACTTTCAATGTGCACACTGCCTGTCCAAGTCTTCTGTTCACTGTTTACCATGCAGGAAACCTTTCAATGGATGTCTTCCTTTATCATTCTCCACCTTATTTCTTTTCAGGGTGGGGGTGGTGGCGTCTCTCACTTAGCCTACAGTTCACTATTTCGGGAAGACTGACTGGCTAAACAGACCTGTCTGTTTACACTGCCTCTCCCCTCTATCCCCAACTCTAAGCATGGTGTTGCACCTGGCTCTTATGTAGGCGCTACGATCCAAATTCAATTTCTCATATGTACTTAGCAAACACTCCTGAGCTACCTCCCCAGTGTGTATGGGTGCTGGGCACCTGTGTGTGTGTGTGTGTGTACAACCTCTGGTGTTGTTCCTTGGGTACCACCCACTTACACTTGCCTGGAATCAGCCAAGGCCAGGTTGGCTGGCCAGTGACCTGCCTCCCCAGCACATGGGTTAAACATGCATGCTACCTAGCATTTTTTTTTTTTAAAGCATTCGTTCTGGGGACTGAACTCATATCCTTATGCCTGTAAGGCAAACACTTTACAAGCTGAGACATTTCCCCAGTCCTCATAGGAAAGATTTTAAACAATACATGCGACCTTACATCTCAAGTAAAAATTTCTTTTTCTTAAAATATGTATAATAGTCATTTCGAAAAAAAAAACAACCCCACACATCACGCACTTAAATTTTCAGATGTTACCATGAATTCCTCAACTTCATCATCAGAATCATCTATCAAAGGCATGAAGGCATACCTAGGTAAAAACAAAGGAGTCTTTAAACCTGACCACTGTCAGTCATAGCATATAAAAAGCTGTACTGTCCAAGTTTCTAATGCATTAAGATAATAACTAATCTCCCATCTCATTTTAGCGTGTTTATAACAAAAGGAAAGTGCTAATCTGATTTGTGAAATTAAATAAGATCAAATACTTTCTCAAAACTACTGTTGATGACAAAATTTATTTCTATACATTGTCCTATATAGCAAGGAGGAATTTTTTTTAAAGATTGTGTGTATGAATATAATTGCATATATATTATTAAATACATTGCATGCCTGATGTCTGCAAAGGTCAGAAAAGGGGATCAGATGCCCTGGAGCTGGAGTTATAGGTGGTTGTGAGCAGCTGTGTAGGTAGTAAGAGCTAAACCTGGGTCCTCTGCAAAAGCAACCAGTGCTCTTAACCACTGAGCTTTCTCTTTAGCCCTCAAGGAGAAAATGTTATTTATTTATTTATTTATCTATCATGTATACAATATTCTTTCTGTGTGTATGCCCGCAGGCCAGAAGAGGGCACCAGACCCCATTACAGATGGTTGTTAGCCACCATGTGGTTGCCGGGAATTGGGACCTTTGGAAGAGCAGGCAATGCTCTTAACCTCTGAGCCATCTCTTCAGCCCGAGAAAATGTTTATAGACAAAAAAAGCATTACATTTAGAGGGCTAATGTTCTATATTCATATCACCAAAAGAATCTATATTTAAACTAACAAACATTTACATTTTAGAATCCTCTAAGAATTTTTCTATTTTAATTATTAAATACATCATATATTAAACATCTTTTCAAAGATAAGTGCCTCCAAAAGCATTCAGGAAATATTGCTGGTAATAGCAAAAGTCCCCTGGTTACTGTGATGCATCTATCCACAGTGATACAGAGATATATTTTTAAAAAGAAAAGCGTAGAAGAGTATTTATTTTTAATTCTTTGGGGAGGGGATTTAAGACAGGGTTTCTCTTTGGCTGTTCTGGAACTCGCTTTATAAACCAGGTTGGCCTTGACTCAGAGATCCACCTGCTTCTGCCTGTGCTAGAATTAAAGGCATGTACCACCAATGCACAGTTTAAAAATTCTCTTAAAGATAGGGTCTTGATGTGTATCCCAGGTTGGCCTTGAACTCACAGAGCTTCTGCTTCCTGATTGCTCTGACCCAACATGCCCAGTTATTTAAATTTTTATTATTTATTTATTTGTGTGTGTGCATGTGCTCACATAATTGAAGGTCAGAGGACAACTTTGAGGAGTTGGTTCTCTCCTTCCAACAAGTGGGTCCCAGGCAATGAACTCAGGTCCACAGACGTGATAGAAAGAGCCTTTACCTGCTGAGCCACCTCACTGGCCCATTATTTGTTAAAGAAAGAAGGAAACACATTTCCTAGTATGCCTGTCTCATTTTCCCTAGAGGGATACATAAGAAACTCAATAGTTCTCTCCTTGGAGAAGAAGGTAGGCAGAAGGTGGGACTGGCTGCCACCACAGTACAAAATACAGATTTCTGAACTGGAACTCAGTCCTGTGCCATTCAGTCCCGCTCTCCCTGTCCAGTTTTCCTGAAATAAAGAATAGGCTGAATACCTTGACTCTCAAACTGCAGATCTACCTGTCTAAGCATCAGACCAGTGCTCTAGAAGTTTCTGGCTCTGTGGATCCTGGATTTCAGATTAGGATTTTTAGTCAGTAAAATTTATGCAAATATTCTAAACCAAAAGCACTTCCAAGAAAGTGGGATAATAATGCTGCCCCTGAACACAGGAGAGCGGGTCCTGATGGTGCAGGTGTGGAAGAGCTGACCCTGAGGATGTGAAAGCAGGAGAACCGGCCCCACCCCTTGCTCACTGCTGCAAGGGTGAATTAGCTAGGGCAATGCGGGAGAGCTCACCCTGGTGGTGACGATAGGGGAGAACTGGCGAGCAAGAACCAGGGTTGACTTGACCTGCTTCAACATCCACCACTTATAATCTGCTGGAGCATGTGAAGAGACCTGACCCACAGAACCAAAGCCACAGGATCTCCACAACACAGGGCAACAACAAGATATCCCAGAAGAGTACTAACGAGGGCCCTGCATTGATAGTGCAGCAGAAACCAGAGGCCTTGAACCTGATCAAATGACTCTGCCACAAACACTTGCAAGTAAAGATATATGGACAAAGAGGTTTACTGTGTGACACACTCTGTCATACGGCACTTTCCATGAAGAGCTTTTTAATTTTTTTCTTTTTATCTCTCTCTTAAATTATTTTGAGGGGAGTTATAGGGGCAGAGGGTGGATGTGAGAGGATAGGGAAATGAATGGGATCAAGATGCACGAAGTGAAAGACACATGGGATAAATAAAACAAAAGAGGGTAAAAAATGCTGCCCCTGCCATACTAGCTATACTGCATACTTTGCTGACTTCTATGTACCATGACTTTTCTCCCCAAATGTATATTCTCTCCATCTCAATCTTTCACTGTGCTATTGCTATTTTAAAGCTTTTCCATAAATTTTGGCTCTTCACAGAATCTGTTTAGTTTTGTTTTTCGAGACAGAATTTTTCTGTGTAGCTTTGGAGCCTGTCCTGGAACTCACTCTGTAGACCAGGCTAGCCTTGAACTTAAAGAGATCTGCCTGCTTCTATCTCCCGAGTGCTGGAATTAAAGGCACCACCACCTCCTGGCTCTTCACAGAGTCTTTATCTTCCTTCTGGACTGCTTAACGCCTCTTACTGTCTTCCATTTGCTATGCCTGTTTTCTCACTTGATTATACAGCTGCTTAAAAACCAAGTACTTCCCAGCACTCTTCATGTGTGTGGGGTCCCTGCAAGCATTAAGACCAGCAGGGAAATGACTGTGTGAGGGAAAGGATGAAACTCGGGTCAGCACTACTTTAGTAGGTGGCAGGTCAAAACTTCAGTCTGACCTCAAGGTTTCTTTTTCTTACACATTTAAGCACAGTAAAACGTTGGGGGAAAGTCTCCATGTAACAATTAACACAACAAAGCTTCAGGGATGGCTATATCAAAACTCCCTTGCAAAGCATACCTCTATAGGAAAGCACCTCTGACCTTTGCAATAAGAATTCTATTGATAGTCAGGGCAAGGGTGTAAGGAGGAAGGAGGAAGAACTGTAATAAGTATAAGGGGAACTTTTATTGTTGAAGGATGCAAAGTACATGAGGCCTCTTTCATAAGGAAGGGCTCTATTCACTGAGAGACAAAGTTCAGGATTAGGGTCGAAACAGCTTAGGATTTTGGAGGACTCAAGTAAAGGCTGGCTCCATAGAATAGCAAAAGATCACCAGGTTGTTTGACAATACCCACTCCTGCCTTCCAGGTGAATGAACAGGCATCATTTCCCTTCCTTGGGGGAAAAAAGGCCTTTGTGTTTAACAGTTCTGGATTTCCTAACACTTCCTAGGAGCTGAGCCTCCTAAGGTTCTCAACAGCACAGAAGGTAGCTAACAAATGCATCCGAGTCATAATTCCCCGAGTTGTTACCTCTGATTATTTGCTGATGGCCTCCATAAGAACATTATCACAAGAAGGATGAGTGAAAAGAGGAAGCTCCAAAATGCATCATCAACCCAGAGCTCCATCCAATCCTAGAACAAGGATGATCCAAACATGAACTGTCAACTTTCTGTTAAGTGTGCAAATGTTCATTCAAAGAATACACAGGAGTACTGAGATCTCTCCAGCCTGCCTAGCAAGTAAACAAGTAACAATTTTCTTCTAAGGAAACCTACGGTAAGTATTGTTTCTAAAGGTAATACATAATTCCCTTCACAAACAGAAAGATTTAGTAAAAAAAAAAATCAAAACATGTAACTTCAAGTAGAAAATTTCAAGAGGGAAATATGCCAACCAAAGTTCAGCTTCTTTCCTTCAATTGTTTCTTACACGGCAGCAGATGAGGGTACCTGGGCCCTTTGTGAGTACATCAGTGATTTCAAGAAAGAGGTTCTGAGTGAGAACTGAGATGAAGTAGGGGGCATCTCTCCAAAGCCAATACTAGGTGTGATATCAAAGCAGCACCTCACCTTAGGTGTGTAGTTCCATTAGGTACAAAGTCAGGCTGGGATGTAGCTCTGTGAAGCAGAGCATGTATAATGCCCCGGGTGCCATCTCTAGCACCAAGAGGTAAAAAGAAAAAAAAAGGGAGAAAGGGGGCACAAAATTTCTTTTCAAATACATAAAAAGAAGTTAAGAAAAGGGGATAACAAATCTGAGAGGAACTTGCTCAAATATTTATGTATTTTTGGTGTTGTGATACAGGCTCAAATATAAGTTCAAGCTCAGGCTGTCCTTGAATTTCTGATCCTCCTGTTCCTGAAGCTGGGATTACAGGATTATTCAACTACTGAGAGTTTATATGGCACTGGGATTAAACCAGGGTTTGCTAATGTGAGACAAGCATTCTACCAACTGAGATCCACCCCTAGTTTCAGAGTTATTTAAAAGAGAAAAAACTTTTAATAACTCTACAAAAAAAAGTCAAAGTAAAAGGGAAAAACTCAAGAAAATTATTACTTTACAAACTAAATTCTTTGAAATTCTACAACAGTATAATTAAAAACAATAACTACTCGAATAATTAATTTAAACACTTTAATAGTTTAATTAACCATTGATTTTTTTTGTCGGCTTAGTGGCTGCATATCAATCTACTCACATTTTAATTATCGTCGGCAGCCCACAGTTGCTCAGTCAGCACCCCATCAGGCAAAGGCATAGCAGAGCTTCCTGTCTCACAGCCCTGGCTCTTCCACGGCCATGATATGAGGTTTAAATTAAGTCTCTATCATTCTGTTTATCAATAAGAGTCAGGAGTCAAAGGCTGGGGTAAAACTTGATAGCTCGGAGAGACTGAGTAGCAATTAGCTAACCCTGTTTTAGGCCAGAGATGCCACAAGAGATGTTAAGAGATGCCGCTCTTCTCTCTTCCCAGAACCAAAAGGTTCCAAGTCCCTACCCTTTCCTTCCCAAGTATCTTTTCTATCCAAATTTTGGCTTCTCAAAGGCCAATTTCAGAAAGCCATTTGCTGGTTCTGCCCAGATTTAGACCATAATTTTATTGGGCAGTCTCAGGAATGTTAAGAGTGTGATCAAAATAACCCATAACATTTCCCCCTTTTGTCTGAATAAAAAGACACGTCTCTTGTGGTGTCTCTAGCCAAAATTCAAGGCCAAGCTAGTTGTTACTCAGCCTTTCTATGCTAGCAGGTTTTTACCCCAGCCTTTGACTCCTGGGTCTTATTGATAAATAGAACAATAGAGACTTAATTTAAACCTACATATTGCAGCTGTAAGAAGGCCTAATTTAAACCTACATAGTACAGTCAGAAAAGTAGAACCAGAAGCCCTGCCAGGCCACAGCCTGAGTGGCTGGTGGGGCACTGAGGGAGCTGTGGGGCCACTGATGATGGCCCCACATCATCAAAATTAAATTATGATAAAATTTTTTATCATCAAAATTAAAATATCAGTAGATTTATGTGCAGTCACTAAGCCTACAAAAAAAATCATTTGGCATCCTACATTGGATGCCATAAGTAACAAGACTTTTTCTGTCTCTCCAGCCAGCTCCCAAATAATAATACAGAGACTTCTTTTGAGTTATAAAAGCTCAGTCTTAGTTTAGGATTGTTCCTAAACTCTTATAACTTAAATTAATCCATTTATATTAATCTATGTTCTATCGCATGGTGTTACCTCTTTTCCACCTTGAACCTCCTGTTTCTTCTCCATGTCTTCTGGCATCTCCTGTGCACCTAGATTCCTTCTCCTCTTCCTTTCTCTCCCCTATAAATCCCACCTATAACTCCTGCCTAGCTATTGGCTGTTCAACTTTTTCTTACACCAGTCACAGCAATACACCTTCACACAATGTACAAATACCCCATAACAAACCACTTTAATTATCTAGCCAATAATTTAATTAAATTTTAAAATACTTAAGATTTTACTTACTGATTGGCATTTTGCCATTCTGAAGGTCTTTGTTGTCCACACCATAAACACTATAGAAGCTGAAAGACAAAGTCACCTTTGAAAGAACATACAACACTGAAATGGGTTGTTTTAGAAAGAGGCACAGATAGCTTACCTAGCACAGCAAAGATGAGTGTATTTGTAAAATGCCTATACAATGAAAATTTCACTGTGTTCTTTCTTAGCCTTAGAGTCTTCATAGTCTGTGCCAAACTTATAAAAATGTGAAAAACTAGTTAAGGAAAAACATGGAAAATGGCAAAGTATAGTTAAAAGAAAATACAGTAAGAACCTTAAACTATAATCCCAAACACAGCAGTGCTAAATACAACTCTTAAAACAGAACACAGAAAATGAATCTTAATCTATACCATTCTAAAATTACAATTAATTACACAGTTTTCTATATACAATTTCCACTGTCTAAAATGAATAAACAGACTTTAAGGAAAAAAGGCAAGAAAACCTGTGATGTATTCCTGTGATACAGGGCAGTGTAGTGTACACAGTCAAAGCAGAAACCCTCAGCTAAGACACCTCTTGCTACCTATGACACCATTTCTGTTGCCTTCTTGTTCTCTTTTTCTAGTTGGTTCTTATGTTATTCTCTAAATAGCCATAACTGAGGAGTTAGGGCATCTATCAATTCCTTTTTATAAATTAAAAAACTGACAAAGAAAATAAGCCTGAGTTTAAGGAGACATCTCTTGGAAGGACAAGGGCATGTAAGTTATTCAAGCAACTTAAAGGCCAGGGAGAAAAGACCTGTGGACGGAAGGATGCAAGCAGAGGGAGTTGGCCGGGCACAGTGACAACACACAAGTCTTTCCCGGGGGACTGTTAGTTCTTATGAGGCCCTTTAAAGAGGTAGGTACTGGCTCGGGCTGACAGTGGGTTCAAGGATGTTGGAGAAAAAAGTCTTTAAGTTTGGTAAAGTTAGTATTTTGTCTTGATTAGATAAGGAGACGGAAGGTTTAGCTAATCATTCATAAGGCAAAGAATGGGAATTTGGAGAGCCTGGGTCTGGCTTAGTCAGCTAAAACAGGAACATCCAGGACCAAGTCCTCCGAAAGGGAGCTGTTTTACAATAGCCTTTTCCAGAAAACAAATGGTTGAGGGAAGATTTTGCATTGGTTGCTTTCCAAGAGTACCAGGCTCAAGTAAGGCTAATACTATCCAGAAAGAGGAAACAGAGAGATTTCCTTGCTGACTCCTGAAGTCAGCAGAGTCTGCAGGTCTCTGCTCATGCAGCCGAGTTCCTCCTTGGGGACACACCAGGAACCTTTATTTATGAACCAAATACCGACAGAGAGCAGGGCAAACTTTGAATTTGTACCTCTTTAAAAGACTTAAATACTTCAAAAAGCTGGGTGGTGGTGGTGCACACCTTTAATCCCAGTACTTGGGAGGCAGACACAGGCAGATCTCTGTGAGTTCAAGGCCAGTTTGGTCTACAGAAAGAGTTCAAGGACAGCCAGAGAAACCCTGCCTCAAAAATAAATAAATAAATAAATAAATAAATAAATAAATAAATAAAATAGATACTTAAAAAAAGTTTTCGTTCAATCATTCTAGATATCCAATACTTTACAACAAATATTTTCCCCCTCTTTCTTAAAAAATTTTAGTTAATTAAAAAAATTTTCTTTGAGAAAGGGTCTCACTGTGTAGCCATGGCTGGTCCGGAACTCAGAGATCCTTCTGCCTGCCTCCAAGTGCTGGGATTAAGATGTGTACCACTATGGCTGACAAGATCAGCTTCTAAAGTAACACACTCCAATCAAGCAGGCCCTACCGTGAGGCCCTACAAAAGTGCAAACACACTGTACTCCTGAAACACATCAGATGAAACAAACAAATTCGTTCTTGTTAGATCATCCCAAAGCATTAAGTCACAGGGTTAAAAATATCAAAAGTAAATTTGAAACTGTCTAAGCCTTTACTTACCAAGACACTGTTTAACTGGGTCAAGTTTAACTACCCCACCGCTACCCCCTGCAGAAGAGAAAGCAGTAATGAAAGTGCACAGGCTCCACAAGGTGGAGAGAGCCAGGGAAGCATGCTGCCGCAGTAAGAAAAGGATATCCACCAGCACAAGCCCGAGTCAAGGAGAGAGAGAGGCAGGCTGGCCAGGAGAACAAGATCAGAGTCATTCGCCTGCAGCAAAACAGCAAAACAAATAACCAAGCAGCAAAAGGGATATGGGGAGACATAAGAAAGACTACCAATTTTGAATTTTTGTCAGTTAAGATTCTTACAGGATTAACTGCTTTTGTGTTAGGTTCATCAAAATCAAAGAAAGCAAGGTCATTGCCCCAAACCATCAATTTCGTATTTAGCCCTGCTTACATCTGCTTGTCATCCGTAACCACCCAGGACTTCAACTTCTTACTTTACAGTGGTAAAAATGACCAAACAGCAGGTGACAGAATACTTGGCAAATTCAGATTCAAAGGAAAGGGCTATTATAGTAACTTATTTCTGGTCACCATTCAGTACTGTACAGGATAATTTTAATTTCTGGATTTCTTTATGAACACCGAGTAAATTAAACCTGTCACCTTGCTTTTTCTACCTCTCCACTCTGTTGACTCACTGTATGGGAAGGTAATGAAGTCAATGCTGTCCAAAGGAGATAGATAGCATGCCCACATTAACACAGAGATGGGATCAGAAAATACAGAGCTTTTTCCTTGAAAATTTCTGCCAGTTACTATCTGAATGTTTTCCCAACGAATCACCCTATGGAGGGTTAAGGAAAAATTTTTGGAATATATATCTGTAAGTCCCAAGAGAAAACAGCACAATGTTATTTGTTTGTTTTGAGACAGGGTCTCTTTAAGCAGACCTAGCTGTCTTTGAACTCTCTTTGAAGCTCAGGCTGGCCTCTAACTTAGAGATCAGCTGTCTCTGCCTCCCAAGTACTAGTATTAAAGTCATGTACCATCACACCCAGCTACAAAATTCTTCTGGATGAGAAGTCTGAAGTTCAATTGCTTAATGCAAGGGCATATCCCCTGACTTGTCAAAAACTCCAGGCACAAACTACTTTAGAAAATAGGTAATTTCAAAAGGGGCAGCCCAGGGTCCTTTCTAAATACACAGTGGCATAGAACAGGCCATCAAGGCAGAGTTGTACGCTGAGGGTGGAGTTGCTCCACCTCTACTGCAGCTCTATCATCCTAACTCCAGAGGTGTCTATTTCTGTTCATTCTCCTCCACAGGAAGGTAAGCATCTCTAAGAAGCCACTGCAGAGACTGCACAGGACCCATGGTTATATCATTTAGATCTTTCATTACATCTTTCCCCATGGCCTCATCTGCCATAACCCCCCACCATATTTACATGCAAAAAAGCTAACCTGGGATACTCTGCCACTGTCTCCTTTACCTTTACACTTCCAACTATGCTTTCCCCTCAATTCTCTTCCTACTTGCTCAACCATTTCTGTGAAGTCTTTATTTTTATTGCCAGAGTTTTCCTCTTGCCTCTATTCTCACACCAACACTCTAAAATGGCAATTTCTCCTGCTGTGCTGTTCCAGTGAAGTTACATATTTGTCTCTATCAGGCGTGAATTCTGTAAATGCAGAGACAATATTATCTATTTGTGCCTCACTGTGTCAGGTGTACATTGAGCACTTTATTTAGTGAACTAACAGAAAAATAAAGACATTTCTATCTGGGGAGTTACTACTTTCTTGCCTTTTGCTAAACTATTACATTGAGAAAACAATAATGCACAATTATATTTTATTCCACCATTAATATAAAATAAAAGTAATCTAATTTTAATAATACCACAAACTATTTTGGAAGGACATGGTAAAGGATATGAACCACACAAAAATGGAGTCAATAACTGCTAAAATAATGTCACTTAAAACAACAGCTAAATGTTGAGAACCCTGAAAGATAAAAGTAGGGAAGGTCTAAATTTACACACGGTTCACTGCAGTGTACAAGTATCACCTGAAGAGAAACAATTTTGCTTTTTATCACCTACAATACCATGGAAGACTTTATAGCTTGATGGAATTGTGTTTAGCAAACAGAAATCATCTGTTTTGGGAAAACCAAATGTAATTTCTTACCAATTTATTTCGTGCTAGAATTAAATGGACTGGTGAATAATAATTTAAAAAATGCTTGCCATGCCCCAATCTCACCCGGACCTGCCATTTCAATGTCCCTCCTCGTCATACCAAACCCAGAGCTGATCCTATGAAAGAAACAGACTCCTGCCCTCCCTTGATGGTAAAGGCATCCACTCATGTAAAAAAGTCAAAGTAAAGGAGGGATATTGTGTGGAAAGGGAGGAACAAACTATAAATCAGACACCTGTTTCAACAGCTACATTGAAAACAGCCAGGATCTAAAGTGCTGGTTATGTAAATGTTAAAATGTATAATACTATATTTATATGCAGGGTATTATTTTTCCTATAGTCTTTTTAGTAAAGACTCATTTTCTATGAATTATATGTTTACATATATATTTAAGCATATAGGAGGCTAGTCAGGTGTGGTGGCATAGATCTTTAATCCCAGCACTCAGGAGGCAGAGGCAGGTGGATCTCTGTGAGCTCAAGACCAGGCTGGTCTACAAAGAGAGTTTCAGGACAGGCAGGACCGTTAAACAGAGAAACCCTGCCCCAGCACACTTCATGATTATGAAAAGGAACAAATCTACTCAAAGAATAAAAGAGCAGGTTTGTAACACGGAATGCAGATACATCAGGATAATGGAATGAGGCTTTTTAGCACTGCTGAAAAATGTCCTCCTTCAAGAGCCAAACAAAAACATGTGAGGGAAACTCACGTTAACTGCTCTGTGCAGTGATCTGATCTACATACTGAATTCAAATACATTTTGGGTAAGATTTAAGTCTGTGAGTCAGGTAAACTCCAGTAAGCGCCTCAATTATTCAGCTTCCCAAGAACTCAAGCTCCTTTCACAGGAATAGTTCAGCTAGTTTTGCTTTTCTCCTAGGGGTTTTCAGAAATTAAAATCCAACACTTCCTCAGAGGACAAAGTGCTACTACCCACATGACCACAGTCTTCCCTGAACACGACCTCCTCCTGGTTCTTCCAACTATAGGATGCACTGACTCCCCAGAGAGTAAATCCAGCTAGAGCAAAGTTAGAGCCAAATGAGAGGAGGGAATAATTTCCTTTCTGCTCATTTGATTCATTTCTAAGCCCAGGATTAAGAAAGATGTCTGTGTTCAAACTACGTAAGGGCAGAAATAGACACCCCTAATAATGACCACAGACGTTTCTGGATGGAGCTACTTCTAAGGATGATAATCAGTGCTTTTTCACTGTCCACTTTTAGGAAGCACTCTGTGGGCTCTTCCTTCTCCAATTAAATATTAATTCCTTCTCCAATTAAATTCTCCAATATTAAAAAAATAGACTATTACATCTGAAAAATACTCAAATTGGAACTCATACATTTTTATCTTAAAAACAAAGAGAAATTAAGAGACTAAGTACAATTTCATTCCACAGCAACAAAAAGGGATGATTGGGTTAATGTGGCTTTTACCCCAATGACTCTCATGACGCCTTCAATGGCTGCAAAGATCAAGTAAAGCAGTCCCAGTCCGATCACCCGGTGCATGACTGTTCCTAACCGAGGCCTGGAATAAGTAAAAGGAGTCGGGGGAGAGAAAGCATGGTAAGGAGAGCACATCTGAACACAGAACTCACAGGGTCTAGACACAGAGGGCACTATTTAGTTACATGCCTATGTTTGGAACTCTGTGTTCTCTTTCACAGGACACAGAGGCCCAGGAACATCAGGACTTCCCTCTAGGACTTGAAGCTGTGAAGGTGCCAGAGGATATGAAGTTCAAGCAACAGGATGAACATAACCAAGTACTACTTAGAATTGAGGAGCAGGCTGGTGAAGCCAGGCAGGGATATGTCAGTGTCTAGGGGCTGCTGATAGAGACTATAACTTCCACTAACTATAACTGCAAACTATACGGAGCACTATCTTGGAGGAGCCCACTGATCTTGTGACTGGACACAGAGTAACGTATGAGCACAAGGAACCCCAATGCCCTTCCCCTCTCTTTCCTGTCTCTCACCCCAGAGCAGGGGTGATAACATAATTTGGCTTTTAATCTTTAAACTTAAAAGTTAAAATAATATTTTTGATTCTTAAAACATAAATGAGTAGGGAAAATTTTATTTCTTTTACAATTAACAACCTGAACACAGATGGGATCTACAAATCAGAACTGATTACATATGCTCTTACAATACTTTTTTTCCCCTCTACTAATCTACGTGGATCTACAGTGGATAGTGGAAGCTTGTGTGTTGTTCTGCAGGCCGTCAGAAAGTTCTGACAGACAGTACGGAACTACTCGCGCTAGCCAGGGAATCGAACTTGGGACTTCGGGCAGAGCAATCGGGCGCTCTTACTCCCTGAGCCATCTCTCCGGCTGGTCGCTCTTACAATACTTTAAACCCTCTTCTCAGAGTAAGGAAAAAAATGCCTTTGAAAACATATCTAAGATAATCATGTTAAAGCAAAACCTAAGGCAAGGAGCTATCAGATGTGGAGAAGGGGACCAGGGTGGTAGCCCCCTTCAGGTTATAGGCAAGAAAGGGCTTGGAATGTAGCCTAGGTTGGCCCTGAACTGGAGGTCATTCGGGGAGTGCTGGGATTATAGGTGTTGACAGACCTTGCTGTAACCTAACAATTCTATCCAAGGTCTTACTCAAGAAAGACAAAATAAGAAAGCCTAAAAGCCTGTCTGTCAGTGATCATGACAGCTTTACCATTATTGCCAAGAGTTAGGGAGGAAAATTTTTACCAGCTAGTACTAGCCCAACAGCTTTAGGGAGAAAAGTATCCTCATTATCTTGGGAAAGTTATATATAACAGAACTCTTCAGGAAACATGGAAAAACACCTCTGTGTGCCCCTTTAAGATAAAAACATACGCTGCTGAGAAGCACAGTTCCTGTTTACCTTCCTGCCTTTAGGAAGGAAAGAACTGGGAAGAACTACGTGTGGATAATGAAAGCCACAAAACCAGGCTTGCTCTCAGCACCATCAAGAGCTAAGCAACTTGGCTAATCCCTACTCTAGTATTATCCGTCTACACCAGCCACATTCAATTAGAAGTAAAATGGGATAAAAAAAATTTACTAAAGTGATCAGAACTCCAAGCCATCTATGATTTAAATTAGTCCATGATCCACGAGAAACTGGGGCTTAAATGCTAGTAAACTATCTTAGTCCTTATGGCAGTCAGAATCCCCCTTACACCAGAGGGAACGGCAGATCAGAATTATGACAGATAAGAAAGAATGTCAATTCAAAAACATAGCTGAGTTGCCATGTTTGCATCTGGGCTTAGATGGCATTTTCTTTCTTTTATTTAAATAGTTTACTTATTTTTCTTTCATGTGCATTCATGTTTTGCCTGCATATATGTCAGTGTGAAGGTGTCAGATCCCGATATTAGAGTTACAGGCAATTATGGACTGCCATGTGGGTGCTAGGAATTGAACCCGGGTCCTCTGGAAGAGCAGCTAGTGCTCCTAACTACTGAGACATCTCCCTAGCCCCAAGATGGCAGCTCTAAACAAAGTCTCTACTGCCCTTGTGAATGAAACACCTGACACAGCAATGTCACCCCTGCCTGGATCCCACAGACAACTGAACCCAACTTCATTTGTTTTAGTTTTATTCCTGTCAACTCTTCAGGAAGGGCCTGGGAGCCTGACATCTTGACGCTAGCTGTGTTCCCAAACACAATGAGAATACACAAATCAGCATAAGGAATACAGATCCTTGAAGTCACACTCTTAGTACCACTTTTCTACCTTTGCCTTCGCTGTGAACACTTCAGAGCTCCTAGATTTCTCCTAGTGTTATTATTATTATTATCTGATATCAATGTTGTTTCCCCAGCAATCCCTACCTTAACTTGAAAATACCCTTAGACAAGCACCTAAAACACCTGCCAAACATTTGCACCGTGCAGAGGCCAGCTAAAGTTACTAACAGGGATTTCTACTTCAAAATGACCTTCCTCTCACCTCTCCCAAGCTGCTTGTGCCTATGCTGCAGTGGTAGGGTTACTCTCAGGTAGGAGGGCTACTCTGGGAGTGTATGGCCTCTGCTGGTTCCCTGGGTAGGTCAAAGGTACAAGAGTCCATTAGCTCTTTTTAGATGGGAGTGACCCAGATGATGACCATCTTCGCAGTCTCCTGCCAGAGATCATCCACAAAAGATAGGTAGGAGTTCCTATTGGTTACAAACCTCCCAAGCACTGAGTTCATCTCTAGGTACACACCCCCATCCCCACATCGCTTTATAGACAGTAACAGTATTGCTACCTGGATGGCTAGGAGCATCAGCCCTCTGCTACTACTATCACTATTGCCAGTGGAACCCTCCAAGTTGGGCCCATCCCATGTTTCCTGTAGACCTAGGGACATCTTAATGTGCAGTTCTTATACCAGACCCTTGCCTGTTCTGCAAGCTTGTTAAAACAGAAAAGGCAAGATAGGGTAAACGAGGTCCTGAGAAAGGAAGATTCAAAGTGGTGTGACCAGTTCTCCTGCCTTCACTTTCAGAAAGTTTCTGTACCTTTCATGGAGCCCTCAACGGCTCTAATGTTAGAACAGGGTGTCCAGAACGTCATAGCTTTGTGGTCTGCAGGGCAAGGGAAGATCATATGTCCAGTGGAAAATAAATGGTGGTACCCAGCAATGATGGGCCTGGATTTGTTGCACCTTTATAGTAAGACACAGACTACTTATAAGGTGTGGTGGCACATGCCTATAACCCCAGCACTCTGGGAGGCTCAGACCCCCTTGGGCTACTGGGATTCAATTCAGGGTCTTCATTTGGAGATAATATAAAATAGCTAGTCCATGCAAGTTTTTTATTTTGTTTTGTTTTTTTGCTTTTGTTTTTGTTTTTCAAGACAAGGTTTCTCAGTAGCTATGGAGCCAGTCCTAGAACTTGCTCTATAGACAAGGCTGGATTCGAACTCACAAAGATCTACCTGCCTCTGCCTCCAAAGTGCTGGGATTAAAGGCATGAGCCACCACCACTTGGTCCAAGCAAATTTTTTAAACCCATGTGTTGTGGGAGTAACTTCCGCTGCCTCAACCAATAATCACTGAAGCAGGAGCCCATAGTGCAGCGGGGAGCGACTTCCGCTCTGTCAGCCAATAGCTGCTGAAATATCAGCCCACTGGGGCGTGGTATATTTCTCTTTTATAAAGAGAAGCAGTTCCGGATAAGGCCCTCTTGGTTCCGGCTCTTGGTTCCGGTGCTCGGTCTCGGCTGCTGCTCCCGGCTCCTGCTCCAGCGACTAGGCTCCCTTCCTGACGGTTTATGGTGTATGTAAGTTTTACCCCCCGCCAAATAAATAACCCCTTAAAACATAACTGGTGTGGGATTGATTCGTTAATACCCATGGTCTTGCAGGGCTTTCCCTTGGGGATTCAGGTTGCAACACTGACAAGTCCTGAGTTCCACAGAGGTCAGGATGTGCATGAGCAGAATCACTAGACGGGAGAGTTGAGAGCTATTCAATACAGCAATACTTACTTCACAATGCCGTAACCCAAGCTCACAATGATCACAAGTAGGCGAGCCAATGTCCTCTTAACTGCAGATATTAACTCTGCAAATATCAGTAAACCTTGGGCTGAGGGGAAGAAAAGAAAACAACTCATTATGTTCATTTTTAGAGACCTTTTAACTAAGACTCCATATGCAATGACACTGGCCTCAGACTAATTAGCCATATGTGATTTACAAGCAATTTAATCCAACTGATATTTCACACCTCAGTGGAAAGCAGCACTACTTTCTAAAGATTCAAGTCTCAAAGACTCAAGTCTGATCAGCTCTACTGGGCAGTTTTCTTACATCAACCTGAAATCTACCGGAGCTCTCCTCCAAGTCATGTTCAGTAAATACCTGAAAGCCATTACACTTTCTGGAGTTCTCTTTTTTCTGTGTGCCTTCATCATTTATTCATTTAAAAAGTATATTTATAACAGTAAAGTGCTGGCCTAGAATGTGCAAGGCCCTAGGTTCAAACCCTAACACCTCAAAAAGAAATCAAAGTATTCATTGTGCTCCTACCATTATTACTGCAATAATAAAAGAGGCTTCTTGATCCTTATCTGCAAAGACTTTGAACTCTGATTAGGCCATGGAAGTGGACATCACTAAGCATGGGGAATGCTACATGTGACACAGTAATCCCGAGACTAGGAGAAAGAGCACCTAATATATAATACACTTAGGGGAGGCATAATTGGTCTGGAAAACTCACAGAAAATTAGTAAATGAGGACTTAAAAACCAAGTGGACATATGTGGGGGAAGAAAGCATGAAGAAGGGAAAAGCATGGTGTATATACAGCAGACTGCAACATGCCAAGAAAAGAGCACAGGTTAGAGGCTAGGACCAATCATGGCTCTAGAGACTCCATTATGGAGTCTAGACTTAAAGCTGAAGACAGTGAGAAGTCAACAGTAAACAGAGGAGGGTGGGATTGAGGCCAGGACCAGGATCACTCATAGCTCCAGGGACTCCACTATGGAGTCTAGACTTGATGCTAAGAGCAGTGGGAAGTCAACAACAGTAAATACAGACAAAGAATTGGTAAACTACAGCCCAGGGGCTAAATTTGACCTTGCATAGCTCTGTAAATCAAGTTTTAACATAACACAGACAGGTTTATTTGTTTATTGTTGTCTGTGGCTACTTTTCATAATGGCAGAGCTGAGTGATTACAACAGAGACCATGTGGTGTACAAAGTCAAAATATTTAGTACGTGGCCTTTACACAACTCTTCAAACATACTGACAGTGGCTCAGTTTCTTTGACAACCCCTTTGGTGACACTTCAGATGAAGGACTTGGATTTCCTGTTAGCTGCAAACGGCCCTTCATCTCTTCATGGATCTCTGGTTTTTGCTGTTCCTCAGTCCATACTGCCCTTGCTCTTTCTAGATAAGAGACCCTTACCAAAACAGAAAGGGAAGGAACTGCCTTCTCTGACTCTCAATAGGTTTCAACCCTTGTCATCGGATACTACTCCCAGCCTACCCCTACAGTGCTTGGGAAGGAATCCAGGGCCTATGTTTGCTAAGCGAGTTATCCACCACTGGGATACAAAACAGCACTTCACTATCTTGACTTAGAGCACATATACACAAGCACAAATACGGCAGGAACAGCTCTACTATGCAGACCTCCATGTTGGCCCTTTGTTTAGTCTTTTGTGGATATGCTTTTAGCTTTTCTATTTTGATGAATTTTCAACATTCCTCAACAGAAAGAAATTAGTGTAATAAATTTCTATGAACCCATTGTTCAGTTTCAATAAATAGTAACTTGAATCCAAAGTGGTTTCATGTGTATTTCAATTCAGTTTTTTTCCTGGAGTGGGCCAGCATCACAGCGTCGATTCATAATCTATGCAAGATCATTTGAATCTGCACTCAAAGGTCATTATTACCCCATTGAAATTCTCTCTCCCTTTCCAAAGTGTCAGTGGTAAGACTGAACCCTCACTTTTCCAGCCTGCTTGAATCTATCTTCTACAAGCCTGAGGCAAACATCTGAAATGTACAACAGTATCCTTCCCAGCTTCAAACAACCCACTGTGCAAACCATGGCAGTGCCGAAAAGCTCATGCAGGGTGAAGAGGAGAGGAGAACAGACTACAGATACCACACAATCTGGTGCTACTCATTTTATTCTCTGGGGCCAAAGTGCCTCTCTTTTCTTTTTCAGAGAAAAAATTGGAGAAGGGAAAATATCGAAAGCACTGGCCACACCTAAGGCACCCTTACCCATGTCTTGGTATTGTTTTAATACCACTGTTTCTTTTTCTAGAAACAAAAGTGAAGGGAAAATTAGCAGGAAAAAAAAGCAAATGGAGAGAACACATGCACTAGCTCAGATGATTAGAGTCCTACTCTAACATTCTCACTTCTGCATAGGGTTGGAGAGTGCACATGCCAATTCATACCTGTACACCGGAGGACACAGGTGTCCTCACTCACTACTCTCCATTCTCCACTTTATTCAGTCTCTCACTGAACCTGCAGCTAGGCTGCTAGCAAACAAGCTGGTGGATATCCCCCCCTCCCCCGCTCCAGTGTTGGGGTTAGAAGTGTATGGGCAGCCACATCCGACTTTTAAGTGAGTACTGAATTCTGCCTCAGGTCCTCATGTACTGAGCCTGACCTTCTGACATTCTCCAGTTGGCTTCCATCCTCTTCACCTAGGTATAAAAGGGGCCTGCCTACAGCTCTGCTCACACTAGCTAAAATACACTACACATAACTCATGAAACAGTCAAAACTTACTTGACAGTCCAGTGCTGTTGATGTTTTGGTATTCACTATAAAAAACTGCCTTTTCAAGCATTCCTAGGAAAATAACAGCTGCAATCCAGAACTGGATTCTTAATATATCTTTCCAGTAACAGGCAGACCACATCAGCCAGAGGACACCATACAATATGTAAACAATACACATCACCATGTAAAACTGCAGGAAGAGAAACAGTGTTAGTAGCCTCTGACCCTTCGACTCTAGAGAGCCGACATCTCAGGAGCTTCCGTTCCCTTGGCCCCTTCATTATCTCATCACTCCAGAAGCAGAAACAGAGGGCCTGTCAGAGCATCCCTACAGAGAAGTCATACTACTGAACTCCTACAAATTAACTTGAGAAAAATAATGAGACATACTCACAATCATTAGAGGCCAGTCTGATGCAGAGATGTATCCATGAGGCCCCGCCATAGAAAGAGAAACTAGTCACAGCAGGAGGGAAGAAGAAGAAATTTAAGAGTTAACTAATAAATAGGGTTTGGGGTTTTTTTGTTTTTGTTTTGAGACAGAGTTTCTCTGTGTAACCTTCACTGTCCCAGAACTCACGCTGTAGACCAGACTGGCCTTGAATTCACAGAGATCCACCTGCCTTTGTTTCCCCAGTATTGGAATTAAAGGTGTGCACTACCATTCCCACAACAACCAGGTTTTAAACATAGTTTAAACATAAACTCATTTATCCTCATCTATTAAAAAAAGTATATTAGTATTAAGCATCAAGTTTTAAGTCTTCAAAATAGATGTATGGCAACAAATCCATTTTTGAAAGACATGTTTTAAACAGACAATTAATGATAAATTAATTAGATTCACATTAATGATAAAAACTATAGAATACAGAGAATGCATACAAAGGGGTTAACTATACCATTCAAATTCCAGGTTGCATCTGTTTTTTCTGTTTTAATAGAAATGATGAAGATATGGAAGCCGTCTTTCTGGGTCCTGGCTACAACATCCTGCAGTAGGGAGAGTAAGGCTTTGTTCTTTTAAACAGATTAACAAGTGAGATACAGTTAAACACTCAACATCTTTAAACAGTTTTAGTAACTGAACAGATAAAAGCGGGAAGGAATGGCAGGCAGTGGAAGGGAAGACACTCCTGCCAAAGTTTTTCTTATCCTACACCCCCATACCCAGACGGGGAACAAAAGGTTCTCATCCTCAGTTATCTTCTACCTATACTGCCACAGGTTTCCCCTGGATTCTCATTCTATATTTTCTTTAATATTATCACTCAAATATTTTTTTCTACGCTGGTCTTGGTAGCACATGCCTTATCCCAATATTTAGGAGGCAGAGGCAAGTGGATCTCTGTGGGTTCAAAGCCAGGTTGGTCTATATAAAGCTTCAGGCTATCCAGGATTTCAGAGTGAGACCCTGTCTTAAAAGGAAAAAATCTGGGCTGGAGAGATGGCTCAGAGGTTAAGAGCACTGGTCCTCTGAGGACCTGAGTTCAATTCCCAGCACCCACATGGTGACTTACAGCCATCTCTAATGAGATCTGGTCCCCTGTTGGGGCATGCAGAGATACACGCGGGCAGAACACCGTATATATGATAAATAAATAAAATCTTAGAAAAAAATCTAACATTGGAATTCTCATATTTCATCTTAATATTATAGAGCATTCAATTATGACAAAATGCTGTTTTTTAAAAATTGAGTTGGGAGAGAAGTGAGATAATGTCAAAATTAAGTCAGACTAGACAGAGAAGTTGATTCTGAGGTCAATCTGGGCAGTAGTAAGACTGTGTCACAAAACAAAATTAAACTATAGAATTGGTCCTCAGTCTCCACAGGGAAAGGTTCCAGCACCACCCCCAATAGGTTCCAAAATCCTTGAATGCTCAAGTCCTTCATATAAAATGCCATAGATGTGCAATCTCCTGCACACTTAAAATCATCTCTAGGTTGTTTCTAGACCTGACAATGTAAGTGCTATGGAGACAGCTGTTACAGACTGTCTAGGGAACGACATGAAAACATCTGTAAAATCAATATGGCACAGTACACACCAGGGAGTACTTTCTTCCTTTCATTTTTCACTCTTCCACAAAATTAGATGGTTTGTGCCAGTCACTGCACTGAATGTCTTCCTATTAGATTTCTCTTTGGAATAGCTGAGGAAAGATGTGAAGTCAGTATATCTAAGCTACATTTAAGCTCTCCCAACTCAGTACCTACACATGACTCCTCCTGACCCTCTATAGTTCTTACTCAGTCTCTGTCTCTTAGTAATTCCCCAAAGGCCACAATTTCTCCCACCAGCTGTGCTATACTCCTGTTTTCTCACTGTATGGTGACAGCAGCAGCCCACAGCTATACCATCTTGCACACTGAGAAACGGAATTTTTTTTAAAGAAAAAAAAAAACTGGCTGCAGAGCTAGTATTCAAAGAGATTTTAAAACAAAAGCAGAAATAGTATATGTAAACAAAAGAAAATACTGTTTTAAATAGTTTCTCTTTTTCTTTTCCAACTTAAGTAATTATCATTCTCCAAACAGCCATCTGATTGATTTTTCAATCTCACTATAGTCTGTGCATATTGGATTTAAAGACAAAGGGTTTACCGTTGATCCTTCTTGGCTTGAAACATTTCTGCTGCCTGTTAGCTCTTTATTCTGGAAAAGAGTAAAACAATACCATTCTATATTACTGCAGATAATAATTCATTCTAAACAATGGATTTATTATCTAAGTTATCTAATTATAACAATTATCTAATAACAATCCACCCCAAATAACTATATTTCTACGGAGAAAAGTAGCTTTTAATAACTAAGACAAAGCTTTAGAAGAAAATAGATTTAAAAGTTGAATATCAGAAAATAAGTCTCACTGTACTCTGAACATGAATTAACAAAGTTCTTCTGTGGGGCTGGAGAGACAGTTCAGCAGTGAAGAGGACTGACTACTCTTTCAGAGGACCAAGGTTCAATTCCCAGTACCATATGCAGCCCACAACTATCTCTAACTCCAGTTCCAAGGGATCTGGCATCCTTACACATATATACAAGCAAAATAACAATGCACATAAAACAAAAATAAATAAAGTTTAAAAAAAAGTTATCTTAACGAAAAAAGTTCTTCTGCTTAAAAGAAAAAGCCCTTGCTTCCTTAATAGTGTGATTAATGTTGAAGAGTGGGTACGGTTAGAGAAATGCAGGAAATAAACAGGGGCTCTAAGTGCTAAAGCTCTGCACTTGGCTGAAACCTGCAGTTTCTGAAAACCACTGAGGCATATATGTGTTCTTTTCTTATGCTTATTATGCTTTCAAACACATTTTTAAAAGAACTTTAAATTTTTACTAAAGGCATTTTCACTTTAGAATTTCTAGGAAAAAATAAATTATAATGATCCATAATCTCCCCATCTGCTCATCTAAGAATTTCTACTGCTATGATAAACTCCATGACCAAAAGCAGTACAGGGAGGAAAAGGTTTAATTTTTACAACTCTCAGGTCACACTCCATCACTGAGGGAAGTCAGGACAGGAACCTGGAGGCAGGATTGAAGTTGAAGCCATGGAGGAACACTGCTTACTGTCTTGCCCACCATGGCTTTCTCAGTCTACTTTCTTATAGAACTCAGGACCACCTGTCCAGGGTCCTGTACCACCACCCACAATGAACTGGACCCTCCCACATTAATCATTAATCAAGAAAATTACCCACAGACTTGTCTACAGGCAATCTGTTGGAGGCATTTTCTCAATTAAAGTTCCTTTTCCCAGATGACTATAGCTGTGTCAAGTTGACACCCCTGCCCCCCTGCACTGCACCACCCCAAAACTTCTGGAAGTCAGGTATGACTGTTTTATTAACATTTATAAGACCACTTGCTGGGAGAGAGAATAAGCGCATAAGCAATGTTCAGGTTGGGGCTGGAGAAATGGCTCATAGGTTAAGAGCACTGGCTGCTCTTCCAGAGGTCCTGAGTTCAATTCCCAGCAACCACATGGTGGCTCACAACCATCTATAATGAGAAGGGATAAATGCAGGAAGAACACTTTATACATAATAATAAAAAAAATCTTTAAGAGAAATGTTCAGGCTGTTAAATGCTGGTGATAAGGCAAGAAGACCTTTGGTAAGGGTAACAGATCACTGGTCTTAACAACACTGATAATCTTGACCAGGGCTCATATGACAGGATGCTGGGAGCAAAAGTCAGAGAACAGTGAAGAGAAGAATGAGAGATAAAATGGGAGAGAGCAGATCATAAAAACCTCTTGTAAGGCTGAAAAGAGAATGATCTGGAAGCATGGCGGTGCACACTTTTAATCCCATCAATTTGGAAGTTAAGATAGGTATATCTGAGTTCAAAGACAGCCTTGTCTACATAGAGGGTTCCAGGTCAGTTAGGACTATAATGAGATTACCTCAATACCTCAAACAAACAAACAAACAAACAAATAAATAAATACATAAAAAAGGAATAGGATATTGATTTCTTTCTTATATCCTAATGCACACATGCAAAAATTAAAACCAAGACTTAAAGGCAAACACCTTCCTTTCTGAAAATACTGACAAAATGTTATTCAAGCTTGGCATTTGTATTCACTTCAAGTAAAATCAGTTGATTTTTAACACAGTGAGGCAGATACTTACAGTTAATGAGGGAAATGCCTGTAAATCACTGCTGCAATCTAAGTTTTCACTTTTTGTTGTCCAACAGTCTATGTTCTTGAAATAAGCACAGAAGTCCATATCAGCATTAAGTTCAAGTTTTTGGGACAGCTCCTATCCAAGGTAAAATTCTAGGTTAAAATTTACTTCTACACTTTTTTTTTCTAGAAGAAATAAAACTTCATATCTAATGAATATCAAGAATTAATTCAGTTTGGAATATTTGAAAATATGCAATAAAATAAAATACCAAAGATAAAAAACTATTAACTGTGATTCTAAGTATAGCTGAAGTAGCCATACCATTTTAGCCATTCCTGATGCAGGAGAGTCTTCTATCTATCTGTTGCTTTCATTGGTTAATTAATAAAGAAAACTGCCTGGCCTGATAGGTCAGAACACAGGTAGGCAGGGAAGACAGAACTGAATTCTGGGAGGAAGAAAGCAGAGGCAGAGGCAGAGAGCCACCTGCCATAAAGCTGCCAGGTCAGACATGCTGAATCTTTCCTGGTAAGCCACAACCTTGTGGTGATACACAGGTTATTAGAAATGGGGTGAATCAATATGTGAGAGTTAGCCAGTAAGAGACTGGAGGTAATGGGCCAGGCAGTGTTTAAAAGAATACAGTTTCTGTGTAATTATTTGGGTGTAAACTAGCCGGGAGCCAGGCGGCAGGAAGCAGCCCGCTGCTCCTTTTACACATTCCAATGTGTTTATACCCAGTATCAAGTGCAATTATGGTCTTACTATGAGGAAAGAGACGAAGACACTATCATAGGTGGGCCTGGAGCATGGCTGCCTGGGAAACACAAAGAGACTGTCTCAAAAAACAAAACAGTAGCTGGGATTAGTGCTACGCATCTTTAACATCAGTACTGTGGAGACAGAGGCAGGTAGATATCTGAGTTCAAGACCAGCTTAGGTAAGTTCCAGGCCAGTCAGAGGTACATAATAAAACCCTGCTTCAAGGTAAGACAAAACAAAAATCAATATGCTATCACAAAGAAATAGCTTCGGGCTGGAGAGATGGCTCAGCGGTTAAGAGTATTGCTTGCTCTTCCAAAGGTCCTGAGTTCAATTCCCAGCAACCACATCGTGGCTCACAGCCATCTGAAATAAGATCTGATGCCCTCTTCTGGCCTGCAGGCAGACACACAGAAAGAATATTGTATACATAATAAATAAATAAATATTAAAAAATAAATAAATAAACAAAATACAGAAACTGATAATATAAAGGCTAGGCAAGGTGACACAGGCCTGTGATCCCAGCATAAAAACAAAAACAAAAACAAAAAAAGCAAAAACAAAAACAAACAAACAAAGAAATAGTATCCAGAAAAATAAAACATGCCCTAGGGCTACTTCTATTTTATCCTACATGTAAAAATGTCACAAAGAAAGAGAAAAGTATTTACTTACAAAGTAGAAAGCAAATGGTAAATAAACCAAAAGCAGCTAAACTAGTCAAACGTTTCTGGACCAATAACAGAGGACTAAGCTAAGTCACTAACAGAAGCACCCATCTTCCAAGAACTGCCTCTCACAGACCAAATACAGCACAACTGGAGCAGAGCAAATACAAACACTGTCTCTGGGACACACAGGGAGACTCTGTCTCAAAACACAAAACAATAGGTGGAAATAATGGCACACATCTTTAATCCCAGCACTTGGGAGGCAGAGTATGCAGATCTCTGTGAGTTTGAGGCCAGTCTTATCTACAAAGACAGTCCTCCATCTTGAGAAAACAAAAACATAAAAACAACAACAACAAAAACTAACTGATCATGGCTTATGAAACAAAGTAAAAATTAATGTGTCCATAATGTTGCCTGGGATCAATAGAAAAAAATAGAAAAAACAGGGCAGCTCATTCACAAAGGAAAACACTAAAAATATAAAAGAAAACCAGAAATAATAAAATCATTGTTTGGCAATTATTGTAACAATTGATTCATAAGGGAAGACTCAGAGAAGGCTGCTAAAATAAATGGATAGATATTTGATGAAAAAAAATAACCCGGACATTTATATAGCTATAAAAATACTGTCCTACACACCAACAAAAGGCAGTAACTCTACAGTGGAAAGATCAATAAATACTTCCTCTATCAACTGTTTGAGTTAACATCACCAAACAAAGGACACCAAACTCAGTATTGTGTGGAATGCCTGCTAGAAGTACTTACCTGGAATCTGATCGTGAAGAAGTAGAGCTAGTCAAATTGAGGGACATTTGCTCTAAATGAAAAGGCAGAACTAATAAAATAGAAACCCAACATTACTCAGGATAGAGAAGGCTTCTAAGCAATCATCGTAAGATCCATTAAAGAGCACCTTGCAAGGGGTTACAAGGAGTACCCCCAATCCAGAAGAGGAGACTCCATCCTTAGCACAGACTCTTTCCTCCTCTCTGCCCTTCCTCAGATGTCTCCACTCTCCTCAGACACTGACTTGAACTCACAAAATCTACTTGCGCCCCTAAGGTTCTGGGTTCCTAGCAACTCACTGTTTGAATGAGAAACTTCAATTTCCTTCTCAAATTAAGTTGACTTGTCACAGCCCTCTCACAAGCCTGATTAAACATTGTTTTATAAGACACCTCACAAGGAGATTACACAGCTTATTTTAGTTTTGTCAAGAAGCACGCACTTTCATTTATTGTCTTAAGTCACAACGCCAATTTGGAGCATTTCTCAATTGTGAGCTCCACTTCTACCTACTCACCTGGTCCTCTACCAAATCCTTTTATTGATAATTCTTCCTTCACAGCTTTGGACACACTAAAGACTTGTTTCCACTCACCTCCTCCAGGCCAGGGTATTCGTTGTGACAGGTGTGATACTTCAAATACCACTCTATGGTAAACTTCACAGGTGCAGTACAACTGAACGACTTCACTGTTCAGACAAAGAGTTTCATTGTACATTAATAACAGTCTATATGGACTTAAGACTTCAAGAGTACTATCTGAAACTGGCTGTTTTAATGCTAACATGAGTAAAACATCACCTAATTTCTCTAAATCACTGCAAAATAAGAAGATTTTATTTTGAAATAAGAAGTTCAGCTGGCCAGAACTTACTACAACTATTCAAATGTAAGTCCAATGTTATAATCAACTAAGCAACCTGGCTTGTTATGCTATGGCCTCTCTTAGTCTAACATATTCTCTCACTTACTCGTCCAAACCACGCTGAATAAACTCCTTGCTGTGTAGCATGGAAGGCCAGCAGCTAACAAGAACAGCTCCTTTTTATGAACTACAATCTGTTGGCGTTAACAAGTGGGTGCTCTGAGAGGACGAGAGGCTGAGAACAGGTTGTCAAGGGCACTGGACACCTGACATGGTCTAGGGCTAAGGCATGTTACCTGGAGGAAGAAAAGCAGGCTAGTTAAGTGAAGCAGTCAAGCCTAGTCTAGTTGTGAGTCCAGACCAAGGATGACTGCCTGGATACAGGTCACACAGACCTAGCAGTCTGACCTTTAGTTTGAATACCATAAAGCACCACCAATACTTAAAAGTTCTAGGTGGGGGCTGGAGAGATGGCTCAGAGGTTAAGAGCATTGCCTACTCTTCCAAAGGTCCTGAGTTCAATTCCCAGCAACCACATGGTGGCTCACAACCATCTGTAATGGGGTCTGGTGCCCTCTTCTGGCCTGCAGGCATACAGACAGACAGAATATTGTATATGTAATAAAATAAATAAATGTTTTTAAAAAAAAAAAGTTCTAGGTGGCATGATTAAGACTGAAAAGGGTTAGATCTAAAGCCAGCGAAAGCTCTTGTTGGGAGTGTCTTAAGCCACTACAGTCGACTTCCACAACAATAACCCAGAGCAAATTATCAGGAAAGGGCAGAGAAGCCAGAGCATCTTTCTCCAACATAGCCTCGGACGTTTAAGAGCAACTCTGTAGAATGTGGTGGATGATGAGTACCAGAAGGTGAGGATCACTAAGTATCATCTTTAAAGGATGGTAACCCAAACAGAGCCCACAAATAAGGCTGATAGAATTGAAAAAGCTCTATTGTTATACATAACTAAGCCCTGAATGAAACAAAATTCTAAAATGTTAGAATCAATTAAAAACGAAAAAGTTCAGTGTTGTAAAATATTATTTTAACTAGTCAAAGATGTGTTACATTTGTTTATGCTGTATTTGTTCAACGATGTAAGGATGTGTTGCACCTGTTTTATCGTGCCTGCCTAAGGCATTTAATTGGCCTAATAAAGAACTGAATGGCCAATAGCTAGGCAGGAGAAAGAATAGGCAGGACTGGCGGGCAGAGAGAAAAAATAGGAAGAGAAATCTAGGTTTGAGATAGAAAAAAGAAGCGGAAAGGAGGAGAGAATGATGGTCAGACAGGCAGACACCTGCCAGTTAGACATAGAGAAGCAGTGAAAGTAAGATTTACAAAACTAAGAAAGGTAGGTAACAAGCCCCAAGGCAAAAGGTAGATTTAAAAAAAAAAAAGGTTAAGTTAAAAGAGCTAGCCAGAAATGTGCCTAAATTAGGCCAAGCATTCAAAACTAGTAAGTTTCTGTGTCATGATTTGGAAACTCGTTGGTGGTCTAAAAGAAAAAGCCTGGTACAATTCAGCTTAATGTATCTTACATTAGTTCATATTATTGGATTCATTTATAATATATCAGAATTGTACATTAGTATACTTACCAGAAAACTTGATATCAGTAGAGTTAAACATGGTTTTCCTAAATATCAAAGGTCCTGATTTCTAAAATGAAAAACAAATACAGAAATATCTTAGTTAAAACTTTCTTTTTCTATTGTTTAAATCTAGTTTATCTTCTAAATACAGCATTCTAGTTCCTGTGACACTGTCTGAGCAGAGTGATTATCTTTTAAAGTTTCCACATCTAACTTTTGAGTCAAGACATTTTAAAACCATGAAACTGGGGTTAGAGAGATGGCTGGGTGGTTAAGAATGCCTACTGCTCTTACAGAGGACATGAGTTCAGTTACCAGCATCCATTATCACAAGATTCACAACTCCCTATAAATCCAGCTTTATGACCTCTTCTGACCTCTGCAGGTACCTGAATTCATGTACACATTCTCCCCTACCCCCATACACATAATTAAAAATTAAAAATAAATCTTTAAAATGTAAATTAATCACATCTCTTGCTCACTTAAAATCCCACTGCTTGTCTATTTCTTAGTTATCTTCAGTAAGGAATGGTATAGGAGGTCCTTCTTTCTATGTGTTGCTTGTATTGGTTAATGAATAAAGAAACTGCTTTGGCCTGATAGGCTAGAACTTATGTAGGTGGAGAAGACAGAACTGAATTCTGGGAGGAAGAAAGCAGAGTGAGAGAGGAACACCATGGAGCCACCAGAGTCAGACATGCTGAATCTTTCCCAGTAAGCCACTGCCACGTGGCAATATACAGATTAATAGAAATGGGTTAAATCAAGATGTGAGAGTTAGCCAGTAAGAGACTAGAGCTAATGGGCCAAGCAGTGTTTTAATTAATACAGTTTCTGTGTGGTTATTTTGGGGCTAAGTTAGCTGGGCGGCTGGGACAAACAAGCGGGCCCTCCTTGCAACAAAGGATCAGAAGTAGTGGCCCTGACTTTGAAGATCATGAGTTCAAGGTCATCAGCCTGGGTCACACAGTGAACTTTGTTAAAAACAGAAGACCTCAAAAAGTCAAAAATGGAGCTTGGTGATACACAAGACAGAAAGGCTTTGACCATTACGGTCAGTGCTGCTTGGACAAAACACAAACTGCACAAGCTCACATGCTGTTCTCTTGGTATCATAGTTAAAAGAACTTCCAACAAATAACATCCCTCTCCAAATTGATTTTGTTTACCACTGTACTTATAGCAGGCCAAAATCCTACAGACTCCACACAATCAAAAGCCCACTCACCTTTCCAGCAATGTTTTGTTTCTGGAAAACTCCTGCTACCATGACCTCAGCAGATAACTTGAAAACTACAAACCCTCTCATGTTTTTCCTTCACCTACTTAGCTCCTTCTTACCTCAAGAACCAGTTCAAATTCTCCTTCCTGGCTGGGAGTATGTAGCTGGAGAGCCTGCTTAGCATGCGCTCCACTCTAGGTGAGGTCTCCAGTGGCCCCAAACCTCCTTCATGCAGTTTCTAGTAGCTACTGTACTTCACAACAGTAACCATGGACTAAAGTCAAACAGTTTTCCCAAGAATGAAAATTCTGCAAGAAGGAACCATGCTAAATGCAAGAGCAGCAAGGAACTGTAGATCTGATAGGACAGGTCACTCTTTTCGGTAACTTTTCCCCCTCCCCAACAGTTCTCACAATAATAAAATCAGCAGCTCAGATCACTACTCTGATCTCCAGATCCATACAGCCATGGACATGTCCAGCAAGCATGTTATATTAGCCTGCAGTAACCAGGCACATGCCTTTCTGTTCTCACCAAGTCTTATACTGTCTGTTGTGAAGATCAAGACCTCCAGTCACCCAGGCCATCACTCCCCCACTTCCACCTGCAGCCTCCCAAGCATGCCTATTTACTGCCCATGCTTCCCACGTTAGTCCTTCCTCTCCACACCTGTCAACGTGGATGTCATGCTGTCCCTCAACATTTCTGCTTTGATTGCAACAGTATAACTAACTGGTTCTTCTGTCTCCAGACCCGAGTCTACAATTTATCCTTATATGGAAGCTAGAATAATTAGCAGTTCTGCCAAAATCCCTGTAATGGCTCTCTATAATACATGTCCAAAACTACCTACTGATAATTCCAGGTCCAAATCAAACCCCAAATTGATGGGGGAAGGGTCTATGTCTGTCTCATGATAAATAATTTTTTAAAAAAATCCAAGTTAGGCAACATAATAAACATATTAGTTTAAGTGCTTCGAGTTGCACTTAAAAGGAGTTCTGGCAATTCTGGGCCTATGAACCATAGTGCTCCCTCATCTGGAGCCAAATGGCAGTAGCGCTGTATGGCTGGCTTCAAACTCTCCTTCCTGAGGGAAGAGGGCAGTCTAAAGCTTAAAAAGTTCACAAGGCTGACAAGAGTCCGCCCTGAAGTTACAGGAGCAGGGAACAGTTGCTGGGGTAGAGTAGCTGCCTGCAGGTTGTAGAATGGATCTTCAGTGACATAGCTTTCAGTTCTTACCCATGCCAGGAGCACCCTGGTTCTTACAAGGGATCCCAGTGCACTCACTGGTTCACTTTCATTTATCACCATCCTATCAGAAACAGTCTCAGAGGGAAAGCCACATAACAGCTACCAATTTCAAGACACACTGTTCAAACTCTTCAGACATGCTCTGTCTCAGTCCTTCACTAAAGTCTAGTGAAGTAGGCCTATGGTGACCTTCGTTCCCCACCTTCCAGAACTTTATTCAACATAAACATCCATAATTTCCCACACTGCTATTGTTCCACACCTTTTCTTACAAAGGAAATAGCTACTGTCTTTTCAGACTAGCTACACACCTCCAGGGTCAGGATTAGGCTGGCTCCATCATACTTGAATACTAGTATCCCAAGAATGCCATGATGTACTAAGTATCTACTCATATACTGTCCTAGCTCCTTAAGAAAAAGCACTGTATCTAAAGTTCATCTTTGCAAGAATAACGAACAATCTAGTACATGGCATATGGCAGTGCTCAAACTATCTGCTGAGTTTTATATCGAAAAGAACCTTTTTTTCTTCTGATGAACTCACAAAACAAATGAAACTCTCATTCTTTCTGTTCTAAAAGACAAATTCTGACGAGTCAATTTAAGAAGAAAATAATCAGCCTGTTTTTTGCAAAGAAAGGCTTGCTGATGCTCCTGGTCAGAGCTAAACAGGAAATAAACTCAGTCTGACCATAGCAAATGATAATCAAGAAACAAACTTCTCAGCTTGTCAAAAGAGCCTGTCATTCTTCCCCGTGGGAGTCTTACTATCCAAAGTAGGCTGGGTAAAGATCTTTACAGTTTTCGCGTAGCTGATTCGCTTGCAGTGTTTTTACTTTCAGTTTACAAACACTGGCTTGATTACATTCACTACAGAGGCAGCAGGAACTGTGAAGCGTGCTTCAACAAATGCTGTTTTTTATTGATGAGAAGTTCAGCATTTGGGATGGGCAGCCCCTATCGCTGATAAGACACGGGGCACCGACTCAGAACGATCTTAAAAGAAATGCTACACTGAGCCAGGATACAGAAACAAGCCTCCGTAGTTTTGGGTTTGGTCATGTGTGCAGCTTCTGATATTACATTTGGTGGAAGAAGTATAAACTTCATCTTTCAAACTTGGACGTCGTTCCAATACATCCAATACTAAGCAGATCTGGATGAGTCATCTGACTCTCGAGAAACTCTCAGAGACAATACCGCTTCCCGACAACCTGTCTCTTTTGCAAGACTTTGTATAATTCTTCTGCCCCTGCATTTTCCCCACATCATCTCTTAACCACACAGAACGTCAAGTTCCTACTCAGTTAAGGAACTTTTCACCCACCCAAAGCCTCCAGACTCGCCTTTGGAACACTCCTAAACACACACCTTGCCCCGCCCACACACGCAGAAGTCCCTGAAGTGTGATAGGAGCACTAAAGAATATGCGGAAACCCCAGCAAAAGAGAGGCGAGGTGACTGTGTGCACGACTACAGGGCATATTAAATGTACGCTCCAACTGAAGGGCTGGACAAACCTCCCTGCGGCCTTGAACAGTAATCAAGCCGAAGGGTTCGGTCCCAACGCTGTCGCTGGGAATGCAGAGACTGGGGCGGCTCTGAACTGAACAAATAAAGGCATGAGCTAGACACACCGTGCCCGGGCGCAGTAAGGCCAGGACAAAGCCGGGGAAGAGACGCACGAGCAGCAAGAACGTTTGAAAGTGGAAGCGGCCTAAGCACTTTGGGATCGCTCTTCCCTGAAGCCCACGTCGGGCAGAGGAGGGGACGCTCCTTTCCCAGAGCCCACCCTAGACAAAAGGCTCAGTAAACCTGTCAGAGGACCCGCTGCCGGCCCGACAGAGCTCTAGTGAACAAGCCCCGAGGCCAGACCAGTGCGCGGGCGGAGCTACCCAGACCAGCCAGGTCCCTGAGAGTCCGAGGAACGCCACGCCTCAGTCCCCAGGGTACTTACGTCATTGACCGTCCTCGTCCAAAGCCCGAGCTCAGGGACGGCGTCCACGGCCGCCGGGGCCCAGCACAGGAGGCACAGGGCAACGCGCAGCAGCTGGGCCCTGGCAGGCAGGCGGCAAAGGAGGCCGGGGGCGAGGCAGGGCGAAGAGCCATAGGCGGCAGCCATCTTGACGCGGAAGCTGCACCTGCACTCCCGGAACCCGGCCACGCCCCGGGGCCGCCCCTGGCGCAGCTCCGCCCCCGGAGGGGCGGGCCCACGGCGGGAAAGCGTGGTGGAACCGGGGTGCTGAGAGCGAGGAGGCGCGGTTAGAGTCTGGGAAGCCGGGCGGAACCCGGGAGGTGGCTTCAGGGACAGGCCTGGGAGAAACCGAGGAAGCGCAGAGCGGGAGGAATGAGAGTCGGGAGACGGACCCGTGGCACAGGAAGGGGCGGGGCCGAAGGGAGAGGCGGGGCCAAGAGCTTAAGTAGGGAGGCTTTATGGTCGCGGGGCGTGGTAAGGAGGCGGGGCCTTCCCGAGTAGGGGCGGGGGAAGGCAGGGCTGCAAGGAGAGTAAGGGGTCGAGTGGGCGGAACTAGAAGCTGCTTGGTGGGGGAAGCTTGAGTGAGTGTCTGGAAGATGGAGGCGGGGAAAGGAAAGGGAGGAAAAAAGAGGAGGCAGGGCCTGCAGGGAGGCTAGAAAATAAAGATCTGGTCTGGAGGATAATGGGACTCTCTAGTTAAGAGTTGGCAGAAATGAAGATCCCAGAACTGAGGGGTAGAGGTTGGAGGACCGTGGGAATTCAAAGACAGCCTAAGCTACATAGCAAACTTGAGGCCAGCTTGAGGTGAGCTACGTGAGACCTTGTCTAAAAGCAATACAAACCAACAGACTGTTAAATAACCATCAAAACGAGCTCTAACGGGAAAAAAAAAAATCGTTCCTAGAGCAATAGCCAGATCTCACCGGTAGGTGGCACTGTAAGTTGATGTTGTATAGAAACTTGAGGTTTTTTTGGTCCCAACTAGATAACAGTTGCTAACTTCAGTAGGAGTTGTTGTCCATATCTCTAATTTGCGCATTTTTAGTTAATTATTTTGCAAGCACACTTAAGTTTACGGTAAAATATAGAGGAATGTATCTTTAAAGAGTTCTAATATCTTCCTGGTCCCCCCAAAAGCTCTCCCCCCACCTAAGCAATATCCCACACTACAAGAAGTGCCTTAACAGAGACCATTAAACCGGTAATCAATTCAGAACACCTGTGTCTTACTGCTCATTAAGTATCACACAGCGGTAGACTCAACAGGGATTTTACATTATTGAAAAGCTGGTCCCGAAGTTAGAGGTGCTCACCGCAAAGCCAGACCACCTAAGTTCTTTTCCTGGGCCCACATGCTGTAAGGAGAGAACAGACTCTGGCATGCTGTTCTCTAACCTCCACATGCTCCCCGCTTGATACATAAAGAAAATGTAATTACCGTTTTGAAAGAGTAATTACTTTTATATAATTAGATGTTTCTTATTCTAGGGTAATTTCATTGCCAAGGAAGAATGGTACTAACATTGCCTCTGTAAGTAAGTCGGGCTGCCTTCATTACCACCTACATGCACAGCATTCTACCTGGATAAGATCAATAAAACCCGTCGTACAGCAAAGAGCTCTCAGCAGCCAGTGAATATAGCATTTGCCCAATGGACCCTATACCCTGGTTTGATCCCCAGCACTACAGAAAGAGCTAACAGAACTGGAGAAAGTGACCACATCCTGAGGTGTCTGGAGACATGGCTCAGAGGTAAGAGCACAGACTGCTCTCCCATAAGACCAGGGTTTTAGTCCCAGCACCCCGACAACAGCTCACAACCATCTTCAGCTCTACTTCCAGGGGATCTGTTATCCACTTCTGACCTTCCTGGGCACCAGCCACCCATGTGGTCCACGTTCATACATACAGGTGAAATACTCAAACATATAAATAAAATAAATAAGTCTAAAATAGTTTTATTTTAAAAAGTCTATAAGCAACTTTTTAAAAATCCTTATATTGGGGCTGGAGAGATGGCTCAGCTGTTGAGAGCACTGACTGCTCTTCCAGAGATCTTGAGTTCAATTCCTAGCAACCACATGGTGGCTCATAACCATCAGTAGTGAGATCTGGTGCCCTCTTCTGGCATGTTGGCACACGTGCAGACAGAACACTATACAAAATAAATAAATAATTTTGGGGGGGAGTTCTTTGATTTAAATGCTTCTAGAAGTAGTCTCTGGGGTAAAGACTCCACGTTCATCAGGAAAGGACTGTAAATGCCAGGAGGTTAGCCCAAAATTGTGCCCTGAAGTTCCTTCACGTGGTGGTTCTAATCTCTAGTTCAACAAATGTAAACATTTAGAGAGACAATTAAAGTAAGATGAGGTCTTCAGGGTGGGCCCTTATCCAAACTGACCGCGTCCCTATCATAGGAGGAACTCAGGACACTTGGTAGCCTGGGAAGGACACTGTAGCCCAAAGGAGCAGCAACAAGCCCAAGACAGAGGCAGTCAGAAGAATCTAACTGTGTCAACAACTTTGTCTTGGACTTTCGGCCTCCACAGCCACGAGGAGCTCATTGCTGTTGTCTAAGCCGCCCAGCCTTCTGCTGTTTGGTTCTGTCAATCTTAATAAGTCAGTCCAGACAGTGAGCGAATGCGACAGGGATTGGAATGCAGGCAATAAAGACAAGATCTTTATCCAGCCAGATACCACGGTGGCAAATGGCATGCAGTCTCAGAGAGACTTTGGAAAGGTGTGTGAGCAATGTCCCCGAGTCACTTCCCAGGAAGCTGGATTGTGTGTGTAGATGGCTCCCCGGCTTCAGATCCACTCAGAGATATTACAGAAGCAGCACACACTCAGAGCACACAAACAGGACTGTGTTTCGAATTTCAGTCTGTCCATGACGGGAGCTGTGATGTGGTGCCCTTTGTGGTCCTGAGCAGCCCAAAGTCAACTAACAAAACGGCTCTGTAGTGTGCTGTGCTGCTAAACTGGGCTTCTGTAGGCCGGGTGAACTAAATGCCTTCTTCTTTGGTGAGACAGGGTCTCTCTCACTAAATACCCCAGTCCTTGAATTCACGATCCCTGTCTTCACCTCCTAAGTGCTAGAAACACAATCATATACTATCAAAACCAACTGCTTCCCACTTTTCCCTCTTTCTCTCTCTCTCTGTTTTATAGTAGAAACAGTTTTAATTATTGGCATAGAATAAAAATGAAAAAATGGCATTGTATACATATATACAATGTATTGTGAGTAAAATTGCCCCTGTCACCCTCTGCTATTGCCCTTCCTTTCCCTCTCCACTCTCTTTCTTCCCAATTAGTCCTCTCAGACTGGGCCCTTCAGTAGACAGAGGAGATGCCCTACCCCTTCCTGAGGAGTTGTCGATTGTTAATGCTTGCCTGCTTTCTTTCTTCCCTCCCTCCATCCTTCCTTCCTTCCTTCCTTCCTTTTTTAACTTTAGCTGTCCTGGAACTCACTATGTAGACGAGGCTGGCCTCAGACTCACAGAGATCCACCTGCTTCTACCCCCTGAAAGCTGGGGTTAAAGGTATATGGGGCCACACCCTGCTCTTTGTATCTTCTAACTGGTAAATACTGGGCCATAGTTTTTTACTTGCGTGAGATGACAGGCATGTGCCACAGTGCCCAGCTAGTGTGATGTGTGTGAACAGGCCTCCCACTCAAGTCTCAAGTTACAGATGTGCATGTTTGACTTGATGCTTTCTACTTAACCGTAAGTGGCTGTGTCAAAACATAACCCCATAAGGGTCAAGGAGTAGAGGCGCTTGGAGTATGCCTATCCCTGAAAGGCAGTCTAAGTCCTCTGAGTAAGGCAGAATAGCTTTTCCAAATTTTGAGGAAAGCAAAGAAACACAGGGCATGATAGCGGGAAGTCAGCTTAGACATAGGATGGAAAGACAAGGAGACAGCCATAAGAACTCCTGGAGAAACTCTCCCTTGGACTCTCACAGATGAAGTCCCATGGCGTTAGGGATTTGCTTCAAAACAGTACAAGAAGGATAGATGGGAATGGGATATAGATCAAATAAGATGATCTATGAATTAATTTTTAAATTCATTATTATTGTTGTTATTTTATTTTTATGGGTATAGGTATTTTTCTTGCAGATATGTCTATTCATAGAGGTCAGAAGAGGACATCAGATCCTCTGGAACCAGAGTTACAACTAGCTGTGAGCCTCCATGTGGGTGCTGAGAACTGAACCTGGGTTCTCTGGAAGAGAGAGCAGCCAGTGCTCTTAATCACTGATCTGTCTCTCCAAGCCAGATTGACATTTTTTTCTTTAGGCCTGGAGATGGATATATGGGAAGTCACGTAACTCTTCTGCCAACTTATAAGTTTAGCTCTTCAATAGTAATGAGGTTGCATTGTGCACATTAGAGATTTTTTGCTGGATGTAATAGTAGGATCTAAGTTTACACCCCTACATAAAACAGCAAAATAAACCAGACCAAATGTATGAACCCATAGTGTTAGGGCACTGGACCCCAGGTGATGAAAGACAGTTATTCCCAAGGAATAGGAAGTAATGGATGAAACACATACACAATGGGGTAGGGGATAGTAAGTCCCATGATTCCTCCAGTCTACTGAGAATTTTCAGACTGTGGAACAGGAAGGAAGAATCCAGGCAGAGCTGGGAGACTCTGAGAAGACGGGGCAGGAGTTCAGTATGAACTAGGGAGCTGGAGTTTACAGGAGGAAATAAGGAAAAGAGAGAGTGGTGTAGGGGAAGACATTCTGAGGTTTACAGGGGGCCCCTTTAACTCTTCAGCAGAGACCCTGGACACTGCGTGCGGAGAAATGGCCACTGTCCTTGTCCTTTAGAATTCTGACCAGGCATGAAAAACTATGTATGCTCATGATTCCTAAAGCTGGCCTGATATTTGCATATAACCCACACACCTCCTCCTGAACACTCTTGAGTATCTAGATATCTTACGTGTTCCTTTTTTAACTTTACATTGACTTATTTAACTGTGGAGGGAGCATGCCCATGCCATGGCGCACACGTGGAGGTCAGAGGACAACTTCAGGAGTCACTTCTCTTCTTCCCACGCACGGATCTCCAGGATCAAACTCGGGCCATGAGGCTCGGCAGCAAGTGCCTTCACCCACTGAGCATCAGGCCAGTACTAGAGGTCTTTAATCTCTAGAATGTCATAGATACTATGTCAATAGTTGTCACACTGCTTTGTTTAGAGAGTAAAGAACCGAGGGTGTGGTTCTAGAGAGTGCGTGCCTTGCATAGTTTACTTTTTTGTTTTATCTCGTGGCATTCAAGGAAATTTCTGTCAGAATATCTATACCGAGTTTTTTGAG